GATGTTTTTCGGAATACTTTGTCTGCCAATGAATAACATTTATAAACAACTCATGTTGTTAAGACTTACTCAGATATTAACGTGCAGCTTGCCATCATGGAATTCACCTATATCAAGAATGTGGCAATGTGTACAGCGGTTCAACCTAGAAGAGGCAGTCATAGAAATGCTTACCTCTGCCATTTTCCCAACAAAACCTGCTTGGAAGCTCAAGATTAGAGACTTAATAGGCTGCGAGATAAGACGAGACTTTAGGACAACAAGCTCAATGTACAATAGGCACGAAATATGTCAGAACATTTGCGATATCAGTGAGACGTCAGCAGGTCTTATGAAGCCAACTGCCTGGTGGACGTTATCAAGACTAAAACCAGAACTTCTCATACCATGTAAAAACATAATGCGCCTCGCCACGGACTGTCATGATCTTCGCGTTAAAAATTCTGGTATTAACTGTATATGTATGCTATGTGATTTATTTGAAATAGAAACAATTGACCACTTTCTGAATTCTTGCAACGCGTACTCAGATGAGCATGCCAAACTGACATTAATCACAAGGAAATACATTAATGCTTATTCAAGAACATCTGTTCTATTTGCATTCAACGAAGTTAACGTTGACACAGAGGACATGATAGAGATATCTAAAATCATCTTAAGTATGACAAACAAAAGGTCACGCATGATGAGAGCCTATGTAGGTAACACAGGTTGCTCTTAGTTATTGACTGTATTTAAACAATCGGGTAATACCGCAAGTTTGTGTTTCAAACAAATAACAAAGACATGTACATAATATAGATTGGTTTATTTTTATGTTCGATTTCACAATACATAGATTGTAATTTATAATGTGTTAAACTACTCTGTTTAAATACAGGCAAATAAATGATAATAATAATAATAATAATAGAACCATTTGATTTTGTGCTTAAATTATTCTTCGAACTAAAAGCCTATAGCCCTTTGAAAATGGCTTGCCATATCTTACGTGCTCCTTTTATTCAGTGTCTCATAAGTCGGCAATGGCTGGACGTGTACATATTATTAGACTCCAGATTGAAAATCTGGAGTCTATTGTTTTTGCCATTATTCTTATTCTTATTAGACTCCAGATGAAATCTGGAGTCTATTGTTTTTGCCTCTTTTGTTTATTCTTATTCTTATTTTACTGTGCACGTTTTCTCAATAACTATAAGGTATCTTTTCAAGACTATTATATGGACAAATAAGGTCTAGTATCTAGTTGGTGGGAAATGGGGTCAAATTTTTATCTAGGTCAAAGGTCAAGAACTAGGTCAAATCCAGTACTTTGTCACTTTTTCCCATTATCTCGGTCGTCCTTCAATATTTTTGATCTGGGTTTTTTTCATTGTGTTCCTCATAAAAAAGTAGAAAAACGCAATACGATTTAGATTTTTGAGATCTCGAACCGATTTCGAGATATCAGTGTCCGAAAACGAGGTCCAAAACAAAGTTCTCCGAATCCAATGTCCAGGATATTGGTCTTATTGGTCTTATCTTCCGGTTCAGGAGTTATGACGTTTTAAAATTTCGAGAAAAATCGATCTGATTGTACCCTTATAGAAAGTCAAGAAAAGTGAAAAAATTGAAAAAATACCAGTCCAGTCCATTTCCAGGTCCAAGTCAAGGTCCAGTCCAGGTCCAAGTCTAGTGTTGGTCCAGGTCCAAGTCAAGTCTAGGTCCAAATCTGGTCTAGGGCCTAGGTCAAAATCTAGGTCAAATTCAAAGTTTTTCCTTATTTTTGCGATTCTGACACTACACTTTAATTATATTCTTCGAAATTGTGTTTACATGTAGCCAAGACTGTGCTAATAGTGTTAGCCTTTTGCCGTCAGAAAGTATTTTGACCCACTTTTGAGATATGGTGTCCGAAAAGTAGGTCAAGATAAAAAATTCTCCAAATTTAACGTATGAGTTATGAATTAAGACTAAAATTTTCTCAGGAATCCGAATCTGCAATTCAAATTTCAATCCGACTCCCGTTTCGTAGTTATCACGTTTTGAAAGCTCAAAAATCGCTAAATTTGGAGTTCCATGTTATGTCAATGGGAAAAAAAAGATTTTTTAAAGTGTAAAATACGAGATATAAACTGAGTACAGCTTAACATAATGAAAGGTTGTGAAAGAAGGGGTCCTCGAAGGCTACTTAGCTTCAAAATTTGGACACCAAAATCTCTAGGTCAAAATCTAGGTCAAATTCATAGTTTTCCCTTATTTTTGCGATTATGACACTATATTTAATTTTATTTGCTTCAAAATTTTTGTATAAAGGTAGGAAAGAGTGTGCTAATAGTGTTAGCCCTTTGCCGTCAGAAAGTATTTTGACCCACTTTTGAGATATGGTGTCCAAAATGTAGGTCAAAATAAAAATGTCTCTAAATTTTCTCAGAAATCCGAATCTGCAAACCAAATTTCGATCCGACTTCCGGTTCTGCAGTTATGGCGTGTCCGAAAAGTAGGTCAAAATAAAAATTCGCCAAATTTAACGTATGAGTTATGAATTAGGGGTAGAATTTTGTCAGGAATCCGAATCTTGAAATCAAATTTCGATCCGATTTCCGGTTCGGAAGTTATGGCGTTTTGAAATTTCGGAAAATCGATCTGATGGTATCCTGATAGAAAGTCAAGTGCAGAGAAGAAAATATTGAAAAATTCATCCATCCTTCCCATCTGATCCTATCCTATCCTTCCTATCTATCCTTCCTTCGTATCTTTTCCTTCCTATCCTTCCTATCGTCTCCTATCATATCCTTTCTTCCTGTTCTGTTCTATCCTTCTTTCTTATTCTATCCTATCGTTCCTTCCTATTCTATCCTATCCTACCTTCCTATTTTATCCATCCATCTTTTTCTGGATGACTCAGCTTATTCTGGATGACTCGGCTTATTCTGGATGACTCGGCTAAAAAAGGTTTAAATCTGGAGTCTGAAATTGAACTTGTTCAATTTCCTAGGTCTAGTTCTTATTATTGTTCTTCTTATTATACTGGTTAGGTTTTCTCAACAACTATAAGGTATCTTTTCAAGACTATCATATGGTCAATTTAGGTAAACAATCTAGTTGATCTAGGTCAAGAACTAGGTCAAATCTTACATTTTTAACCTTCTGTCTATTATCTTTGTCGTTATTTATCGCAACATCTTCATCTTTTTTCATCATGTATCTTAGAAACAGCCCTTTCATAATTGTGCCATCCGTTTTTTGATTACTGTTACCGATTTTGAGATATGGCGTCCGGAAAGTAGGTCAGAACAAAAAGTTCTCCAAATTTAACATGTGAGTTATGAAATAAGTGTAGGATGATCTCAGAAATCCGAATCTGCAAACCAAATTTGGATCGAACTTCCGGTTCGGAAGTTATGGCGTTTTGAAAGCTCAAAAATCGCTAAATTTGGTGCCCATGTTAAGTCAATGGGAAAAAAGATTTTTTTGAAGTGAAAAATACGAAATATAGACTGAGTTCAGCTAAATATGATGAAAGCTTTTAAATGAATGGAACCTCAAAAGCCATCTAGCTTCAAAATTTGGACACCAAAATGCCTAGGTCAAAATCTAGGTCAGATTCAAAGTTTTTCCTTATTTTTGCGATTCTGACACTACACTGTATATTCTATATTCAATATCTTCGAAATTGTGTTAATAGTGTTAGCCTTTTGCCGTCAGAGAGTATTTTGACCCATTTTTGAGATATGGTGTCCCATTTCTAGTTGAAAGCCCATGGGTGTCCGAAAAGTAGGTCAAAATAAAACGTTCTCCAAATTTAACATATCAGTTATGAATTAAGGGTAGAATTTTCTCAGGAATCCGAATCTGCAAATCAAATTTCGATCCGACTTCCGGTTCCGAAGTTATGCCGTGTCCGAAAAGTAGGTCAAAATAAAAGTTCACTAAATTTAACGTATGTGTTATGAATTAGGGGTAGAATTTTGTCAGGAATCCGAATCTTCATCCGAATCTTCAAATCCATTCTTCCTATCTGATCCTATCCTATCCTCCCTATCTATCCTTCCTTCGTATCTTTTCCTTCCTATCCTATCATATCCTTTCTTCCTATTCTATTCTATCCTATCCTATCCTTCTTTCTTATTCTATCCATCGTTCCTTCCTATTCTATCCTATCCTACCTTCCTATTTTACCCATCCATCTTTTTCTGGATGGCGCTTATTCTGGATGACTCGGCTTATTCTGGATGACTTGGCTAAAAAAGGTCTAAATCTGGAGTCTGAAATTGAACTTGTTCAATTTCCAAAGTCTAAGCTAGTTATTTTACCTCTACATGCGCCCAAGCACTGATAAGTCGGATACAGACTTACATTTACACATGCGCTTTCAACTACAGTAGAACCTGTCTAATTTAATTCGAACACCATTGGGACCGGCTAAAGAGTCCCGATTGGGTCACTTTTGAGGTTTTTGCATTCGCGAGATTCTGAATTTTAAAGAAATATGGACACATTCTTATTAAACATTACAGTTCTATTAGACTACGTAGCTTTATGGCATTCCAATAATTTTGAAAATCAGATTGAAATGAATCTATTAGAGTCATGACGAAAGACACTTGAAACCACAGTACTGTTTTTCCCAAAAATTGGATATCCTGATAAAACAGTGACCCTAATTTAAATTAGTATTTGAGCATTTTTTGTAGGAAATATGCAATCATATTTTATGACTCAAAAGCGTCCAGATAAAAGTCTTACATTGCGGGGGGCACAGATATTGGCCAGATCGTTTTGTAGTAGGATTTCATAGGCTCAAAGAATAATACATGGAATATTTATTGAGCTACTGATCCTACTACAAAATGATCTGGCTGGGATCTATGAGTGGGGGGATTTAAATCTTCTTCCTGGGCCTGGGCCTGACGAACGTTTGGATTAGTCGTTAATAATACGAACAAATACACATTCAGATTTCCTCAGCGTTCGTATCAATCATGCTACAGTACGACAATAATTAACAAAAATCAGTCGTTTCATAGATTTTTATTTTTGAAAATATTTCGTAACAAAACCTTTATATCTGCATAAATGGTAAGATAATTACTATATTTTTTATGAATGAATGCAAGATGAGTATCAAAGGTTTCATTCTGATGAACTTTGCTCGTGATACGTCGTTTCATATTGATTGAATTTGATATTTAATATTTTCGTTAGTTTTCTTATGAAAACAAACTTCGAATTGAATGACCTTCACTCACTGTTATCAAGAACAGCATAAACAACTGTGAAAATACACATATAACAATCGGGTATCAAACTGGTATATCTAATTGTAATGACCCTCGATAGCAAGTTGCTACTACAGCCCAGGTGTAGTGGCTAGCCCTTATGACCCAGAGGTACAGTCTGTTACACTGCTTCAAAGGCATGCAGTTAAACCTGAAATACAAGAAATCTAAATAATATTGTGCAATAATATATAGAAAAATATATTCATATTGCACACAAATGACATTTGTATATGTTGGGTTGCTTGTAAATTGGCTCATAAAGTCTGTAACCTCTTATATTTTGATGCTTCTCTACAATGTTAATTCTCAAAAAAATAACATGGCGGACAGACCTCAAATTACAAGAGGGCACAGGGTTATTGCACTAAACACTAAATAATCTGAAATGTCATTCGTGTGCAATATGAATATATTTTTCTATATATTATGGCACAATGGTCTATAGATTTCTTATTTTTCAGGTTCAACTGCTTGCCTTTGAAGCAGTGTAACAGACTCTAGAGCATCGGTTTAGGCAGCATAAGGTCCTGAGTTCAATTCCTGCAGAAGGCATTGAAGTTAGCATACTCCCTTTGATATCCACTATCTGGTTTGTTAAATTTAGCTCCTGTGTATATCCTTTGCGATGGCGACATCATCACGAATGGTGGTAAAATGACCCTCGATACCAAGTTGCTACTACAGCCCTGATGTAGTATAGTGGCTAGTAGCTCGGCTGTAAAGCATTGAAATTTGGAGCGGAAGTTCCTGGGTTCGACACAGGGCATTGAATTTACCACTAGAGCCTGAGGTGTCACGGTTTCCCGATATCGGTCCAGATGCTTCGGTTTGGGACACGGGACAGAAAGGGTTGATATCGGTACGGTTTCGGTACATAAATTCCTTCCCTAAAACGCATAAAAATGTGTATAAATAGCGAGGAACACCTCCGATTTCATTCTGAAAAATTAAATATTTTCACTTACCTCGTATCTAGATTACACTTCTTTGCATTGAAGAGTGTTATTAACGGACCTACTATTTCAGGTAGATGCTAATGTTCGTTTGTAAATCTTTTCATTGTTGTTTGCAAATCGTGTGAATTATCATTACCATTATTGAAAAATCAAGCTGGCATCTAAGTTGAAAAAGTCGGCAGTTTGGAAGTATTTTGGGACTCCGATATCACAAGGTGAACGAATTGGTGATAGTACACCGTGCAGATTATGTGAAATGCCGATCAGATTCGCGGCAGATGCGTTATTTTAGATTTTAATTTTCTAAATATGATTTTGAAAAGTGAAACTGAAAGTGAAACTGCCATCATCAGACATTGCATCATTTTCCTTTAATGTTCTGTCCCGTCCCGAAAGTACCGTGTCCCGAGATTTGTACCGTTCCGTACTGAAATTTTTTTGGACCATGACACCTCTATTTACCACACTCCCTTTCATATTCAGTATCTGCCTTGTGACACTACATCTCCCTCGAGGCACCTCAGGTCCTTACATAATCAATGTTAAGTACAGCATTGTGAATCTTAAGAAATGACTCTTGTATAGAGTTTCAGTAACGATAATTTGAGATCATGCTTCAAAATTGCAAACAACACACAATCCAAAATATAAACTATTGTCTCTGAATTATGTTTGTATTTTCTATTCATAATATTGCACTGTGGTCACTGGTCCATTGATTACTTATTTTGACAAAACAGTATGCTAAAAATCTTGTCATTTTCACCTAGTATTTTCATGTTTTATTTTATTTATCTATTTTTCAGGGTTATGCAAGGAGAGTGCAGACCCATGAGTCTTTAGGAGAGTGCATGAGAACATCATAAAGAATAACAATGCTAATGTTAAGAACCTTAGGCTTGCTTAATCAGCAGGCAACTAAAATATGTCAGGCACAATCACTACAAAGAATGACACTTAGATTCTTGAATGTGACATATGATAAATCTAACTGGATAAACCATCAGATTGATACTTACCCTATGAAATACACTCATAAAAAATACCATACACCTCCAACATGTGTGTTTAGTAACTTCACAAGCTCACGATGTTTATCACAGGCAATAGGAAGTACATGTATAAACTATGAACTGCAAAATCAGCGAGGATTTATTCGCTTACATGGAAAAGATACAGTAGATTTTCTCCAAGGACTCATCACTAATGATATGTCATCTTTAGATGGAGATTGCAAAGCACTATATGCCATGGTGCTAAATATCCAGGTATGGAGGTAAATTTCCAGGTATATGCAGAGGCCAGAGGTTGATTTTAGTTAACCATATCATTCATTGGACCATTCCTAGATTCATGAGTTTCTTAATCTATTGTTCTCTGATGGTATTAATAGTTAATAGTAATAATATTAAAAATAGTAATTATTAATAGTTTTTCAAGAAATATACCCCTTTACTGTTAATTAGGTTTTATTTACAGAAAATGTAATGACTGCCAAATCAAAGCAAATTGCACACTTACAGTGTGATATTTTTAAAAGTTGGGATATTTTTTCAAAATTAGAGTATTTTTTAGATTTTGAGGAATTTTGGAGACAGAATCTTTGCAGTTAATTATTAGTGCCCAATGATCATGGGCTCTCTTGAAAAAAGTTTGGTCAATATTTGTATATGCTATTATAATTGTGTTGTTTATAAATCTATTTTCATCACACCCTTGTTTAATTTCAGGGCAGGGTGCTGTATGATGTCATACTGTACAACATATCTTCAAATGAAAGTGAACCAGCTATCCTCCTTGTTTAATTTCAGGGCAGGGTGCTGTATGATGTCATACTGTACGACATATCTTCAAATGAAAGTGAACCAGCTATCATCCTTGTTTTATTTCAGGGCAGGGTGCTGTATGATGTCATACTGTACAACATATCTTCAAATGAAAGTGAACCAGCTATCCTCCTTGTAATTTCAGGGCAGGGTGCTGTATGATGTCATACTGTACAACATATCTTCAAATGAAAGTGAACCAGCTATCATCCTTGTTTTATTTCAGGGCAGGGTGCTGTATGATATCATACTGTACGACATATCTTCAAATGAAAGTGAACCAGCTATCATCCTTGTTTTATTTCAGGGCAGGGTCCTGTATGATATCATACTGTACGACATGTCTTCAAATGAAAGTGAACCAGCTATCATCCTTGTTTTATTTCAGGGCAGGGTGCTGTATGATGTCATACTGTACAACATATCTTCAAATGAAAGTGAACCAGCTATCATCCTTGTTTTATTTCAGGGCAGGGTGCTGTATGATGTCATACTGTACAACATATCTTCAAATGAAAGTGAACCAGCTATCCTCCTTGTAATTTCAGGGCAGGGTGTTGTATGATGTCATACTCTACAACATATCTTCAAATGAAAGTGAACCAGCTATCCTCCTTGAATGTGACAAAGAAATAGCAACAGAACTATACAAAACACTTAAAAAGTATAAAATTAGGAAAAAGGTTTGTTATTATTTGTGTTCCTACATTGTATTATGTTTATATTTAATGAAATCATGTGTCTTTTCTTATTAGAATAGATACCCATTATTAAAATGTTGTCACATTGAATTTGGTTTGTTATTTTTTGTTCCTAATAATGTTTATAATTTAATGAAATCATGTGTACAATCATTAGTTCAAGAGTTTGTGTGACTTGCCAAAAAAAAAATTATCACTCAACAGATTTTAATACAAACTCAGGCTTTCATTGGACAGCCTAAACAGGCCACATCAGAGGTCATAACCAAAATTATTTTTCTGATCTATTCACAAGCTTTTCCAATGTTTTATGAAAGATGGGGAAGATATCTGTATGACTTAGAATGCTGAATTCTACCAGAATTTCTTGCTCCAGTATATGTACACGAAAGAAAAGTTGTAATTTTGTTTTATTTAATTGATTTTGTGAGTGACATGTTTCCACACATGTTTCTTAGATATGCATATTCCTTTTTAACCATAACATTCATAGAAACTCAAAATTTTACACAGGTGAAGCTTGAGCCCTGTTCTGATGAGTATAAGTTATGGACTATATTTCCCAATGATCTTCACGCAGTATTAGACAGCAATATCACCTCTAGTGGGTCAATAGAACAGAGAGAAGGTCTTGTAATTGCTGAACAAGATCCCAGGCTGAAGGACTTTTGTACAAGGATGGTGCTGGACAGTACAATGAAAGGTATTTATGATCTCCAATAAATTTTATAACTATACAGGGTATATTCAATGGCTAAAAAGAGGCGGGGTAAATTTCAATTTTTGTATACTTGTAAAATCATTTACTTTTTTTTGTAGTGTTATAATCACCATTTTGGTATCTGACATTCTTTCTGGGTGCTAATCTTATGTTACTACCCCGTCTGAAGTATTTTAATAGTTTACAAGATTGGTTAGTAGAAAAATTCTAGAAACTATTGCTTACTGTAACATACCTATTTCAGGATCAGATTATTTACCTGTTGGTGCTACAGAGCCATCTATAGCCCAAGCTTACAACACTAGGAGGTATATACATGGGGTATCTGAAGGAATACTAGATCTTCCAGTAGGCAAGTGCACTCCCTTGGAAAGTAATGCTGTATTTTTAAATGGAGGTAAGTGTATTATGTTTCATTAGATTATCTAACATTGTTTCAGTAAACTCAAATATAGTGAACTTGGGTGTTTAATAAGCATGCAACTGCAAAAAGTTCAATCTGTGTTTGACCTTGATTTGATCGAGCAATGAGAGATTGACCTTGCATGACTTCAAGCAATGGCCTTTGAAAATGATTTAAAGTGTGCGCCTGACCCGGCTACGTATAGCACAGAGTTTATACTGGCGGATTAGACTAGTTCATTTTTTTATATGTGTGTGAAAGCTTTCTCTTATTTGCTTTTTTTCGTTTAGTACGGTTTTGTTATAATTGCCGAGGTCATATAACCGGGATAAAACAATGATTATCGTTGACTGCCCACACACAAAACATACGTTGAGTGAACAGTGTTATTACAAACAACATGCTTTAGAATACAAAGCGTAGTGTGATAATAAGCTGTACACTACCACTGCTGCATGTACATATTACTAATTTACTAGGGCTCCCAAAGAGTGGATAGGGAGGTTGTGTTTGTCACTTTTAAATTTTACATTTCAAAATTGTCATTTTACATGTCATAATTTGTTGGTTTCATTCGTTTAGCCAATCAAAACATTGTAAAACAATAAATTGTCTGTTACGTACAATCAATTTTGTTCAGTTTTGATTAGTTGTCAGAATAAAGTTACGTTCATCCGAATCCATGTATCAAAACAAAAATCCTATTTTCACTTCAAAATATTTCAGTGAGATGAAGGCTCGGAATTGTCACATGCAATAACTTATTGTCGTATTCGTTATTTTATCTTCTCGTAATAGTAGCATTTAGTCGCACATTTGATGCCAGGTCACCTTGTCGCGTACCTCTTGGGGAACCCCACATTTATGTGTGTACTCACACGGTGTATAACCCAAACGCTCCTACATGCACGACGGAGCGTTACATTTACGCGGAAACGCTCCGGAGCGAAATAAAATGGCGGCTAATGAAGATTCTACTATGACCGTAAGTATTGTTTCTCTCGTTTCTCTTACATATCATATGTCATGGTGAAATATTATGTACCATTCGATGAACAATACCGTGAGCAAAGATCTTATTTATTCAACTTCTGGTGGTAAACTGTTATTTGCTTGATCAAAGCTCCGTAGTGTAGATCGAACGAATCTGAAGATGAAGATTTGACCACAAATTACGAATTAAACTAGTATTTCTATGAAAACGTTAATCTTTCTGTTTAAGTAGTATATCACAAACTCGTATATTCTCATTTCCTAAAATCCCAGTCCAAATCCATTACTTGTTCTCGAGAAATCGCTTGTTTTCCTCGAAACGCTCCGTCGATTTAGACCACAATTTTAGAAACGCTCTTACCATTTTGTTTTGATATCATTTTCAGATTATTAGAGAAGAGTTCCGAATCGAATCTATCTCTCAAAAACGTGTTGTACTTGTTAGGCAAATTGAAACATCTGAACCTGGTGGTGCTAAACGTGCAACTAGCTGATTAAAGCCTATACATTAGATGATGTCATGCCTACATATGTGCTAAATCATAAAACTATAGAAAAAACGAAAAGTTATATGTGAATTAATCTTTCTTCTATTGATGCCAAGGGGTATAATAGATCTTTTCTTTCTCTTCCTGAAAAGGAAAGGCAAGCTATATATTTCCTTAACTGATCTAGACTACCGGAGCGTTTCCAATTCACTGTGTTAACCAGATCGGAGCGTTTCTTGAATATGAGAATGTCATCATTTTTAAGACTGGATTTTCGGTCATCAAATCACTATTACGATAATGTATGGTGCGTTGAAGCATTGGGATTTGACTAAAATATACGTTGGTGTTCTAATCTTGGCTCAACTAATCACATGTATCGACAAAAGGGGTTTTGACCGGTAGAATGACAAATACGTTTTTGAATTTTGATAACTATACTGCTTCGTACAGCTCTTCCTAATTGCTTCAAACGTCAACAGTCAGCCACGTACAACATGAATATCACACCCATCGAATGGTATACTCGAAATATGTAACTCATACCTCTTATTCCCATTATTGGGGAAATTGTCAGACGGCTCATCATTCCCGCCAGACAGTTTTCCTACTCCGGAGCGTTTCTTTGTTTAATTTCAGTAATGAAACGCTCCGTCGTGCATGTAGGAGCGTTTGGGTTATACACCGTGACTCATGGAAGTATATTCCCCGGTGTAGCCGAGAGCCACAAACTTTTCAACAGGTTCGAAATGACCAATTTCTCTCATATATACTCTAAATATTTTATTATTTAGCACCTACAAAGTATTGCTTATAACCAAATGTACTACATATAAATTCAATATCAACACTAGTTGTTCTCTCAACACGTCCTGGCTTACCTTGTGGTGACAAACCCTGGATTTTCGCTATTTATAGTTTATCAACACCTGGACGCATGCGCATTTTATAGTTTATCGGGCACTTTAAGAACTTTAGAAGTAGAGTAAGTTTGACCTTTGCATGACCTCAATAACATTGAACTTTGTACCCAAAAGATGGCCCATTTTGGAGGAGATAGTACAGGGTAATATAAAAAGGCAGCCCTCTGAATTTAGAATAACTTTCTCATTTATGATGGAATCATTGTGAATATTCTTGTGCAGACAAAGTGTTCAATACAGTAAGTAATATTGGCATCACTCCAATATAGGCATCTTGTTCCACAGAAATACACATGTCATATTGTTTCAGTGAGTTTCACAAAGGGTTGCTACATTGGACAAGAACTGACAGCTAGAACACACCATACTGGGGTAATCAGGAAGAGACTGATGCCAATAACAATACAAAAGTGAGTACATAATGTCAAAATGATTTTATGCGTGACTTCAGGAATCAAGGGAAGCATTAAGTTAGAGACTGACATGATATCATATAGATTTGCAAATGTAAATAATTTTGAGGATAATTATGAAATTTCTTGATTTTATTGGAGGGTGTTTTTGATACACAGATTGAGCTCAGAAATTTGTATAAGTCAGATTCCTGAAGTGGTTGCAGGCAGTGTTTCAATTAATAACAGAAATAGCAACAATCTTAGAATTTTATTTTGTTAAAATGGCTCCAAACCACTCACATCATGGATCTTGGTGTAGCAAGATGTTGGGATTTACCTGAAAGGTGCTTACTGTATTGTGACACTCGCCCCTTTGTCTTGAATATTACAGAGGCAAATAACCCAAAGTCTGATGAACCAGAATGGCTTTCCTTGGGTTCGCAGGACATTTTAAAATTTAATTTTCTTAATGCTTTTATATTTGTTGTTTTTCAGAGAGGGTGTTGTGGTACCTTCTGATAGCAAAATACAAAATTCATCTAACAAGAATGTTGGTAGATTTAGACACAACATTGGAAAATATGGACTAGGCCTCCTAAGAGTGGCTGATGTGAAAGAAGACTCTCTTAGTATTTACTTAGATGAGGAGGGTAAAGAAACTGTCGCAGCAGAGGCAAATGTACCATATTGGTGGCCAAAATTAGAAAATCTTGAAAAATGATTCTACTGGGTCATACATAGTGGGATAAGATGATCAGACGAAAGTTCCATAGTTTAAGATGATGCAAACTTATTATTTCCTATGAACTTGCTAAATGCATAATTGCATTTTAAGCAAGCACCTTGAAATTTACTTTTTATAAAGGACCTGGGTGAAGTGGTTAAAATAGTAGTTGACCCATTTTGCCAAATTGCCCCTTAGACAATGGCTTTGATCATTTTTGAATATCTGTGGGTTTTAAAGAGACGGAGAGCTCATTGACCGATGGGCACTTCAAATCCAAATAATATCAGTGAAAAGTATGAAGAAATTGGATGTTTAACACGTCAAGCAGGGTTGTAGCTTCTCAATATATAATGGAACTTTGAGGAATGATCATGTAATGTAAAAGACGCACAATTTATTACTGGACTTTGATTAAGTTTCTCTTGAGACCTATAAAATGTCCATCCAGTCCTTTTTGTTAATATGTTAAATTTTACTAATAAAACAAATCATATTTCTATAAAAACTCTATTTCTGTTTTCTTTTTACTTATATGAACACAGTCTGTACAATATAAAAGATGTCACCCACTGCTGAGTGTCGACAACCAAGGCTTTTTCTATACAAGATACAATAATGATATGCAGGCTGGTTATGTGACAATGATCCATTATTTTCAGATATTCAAAACCTTTTATATCCAAACATGTCAATCACGTGTGTGTCAACACCTGAACCACTCTCCATCTCTTCTTGCCCATGTAAATTAATGGGCCACCCTCAAAATTACATGTTTATTTTGAAAAAGCCTTGGGTTATCGTTTATGAATGACATCAACATGAAGTTATGTACATGCACCTACAGGAATGTAAACATGATTAGCTTGCAAAAAAAAACAATAAAATTAGAAAAGTGGAGTATTCCTCAGTTTCTTAGAAATTTCCTTTGATGTATCCACTTATGATGTATGTATGTGTCATCAGACCAGTTTGAATCATACTGAAAGATTTACCCAGTATGTCTGTAGATATACAATACTATGTGATTGAATGAATCGAATGATACTTCCTTGGCACTGAATGGCACCAGCTTGTCCATATTTATAGGTAAGGGTATTCTGTATAGCTCCAGTTGTCTCAAAGTATAATGATGTAAATCCAACCAGAACAACGGCAACGCCAAAGCGTAGCGAATCCCATCGAACATTTTTCAAAAGGGGCACCTTCTACCAAAAGTGTCATTAGACAGTGTGCCATGCTTATAATATTCACATACCAAATATGAACAAAATCGCTCTACTACTTTTTGAGTTATAGTAAAATACGTTAAAATGGAGGCCATTTTGAAAAATGGCCGCCTTCTACCAAAAGTCTCATTGGACAGTGTGCCATGCTTATACGGATTCACGTACCAAATATGAACAAAATCGCTCCACTACTTTTTGAGTTATAGTAAAATAAGTTAAAATGGCAGCCATTTTTCAAAATGTCCGCCATTTTTCAAAATGGCCGCCTTCTACCAAAAGTGTCATTAGACAGTGTGCCATGCTTACAGTATTCACATACCGAATATGAACAAAATCGCTCCACTACTTTTCGAGTTATAGTAAAATACATTAAAATGGCGGACATTTTGAAAAATGACCGCCCTCTATCAAAAGTGTCATTAGACAGTGTGCCATGCTTATACGTATTAACATACCAAATATGAACAAAATCGCTCCACTACTTTTCGAGTTTTAGTAAAATAAGTTAAAATGGCGGCCATTTTTCAAAATGTCCGCCATTTTTCAAAATGGCCGCCTTCTACCAAAAGTGGTATTAGACAGTGTGCCATGCTTATAGTATTCACATACCAAATATGAACAAAATCGCTCAACTACTTTTCGAGTTACAGCAAAAATCGTAAAATAACGAGTAAAGGCCGCCATTTTTCAAGATGGCTGCCATGTGCTTTTTTAATATCTACACTTCTAGCTTTATTTATGTCCTATATAATTTTTTTTACATTTAAAACATATTGCTATTACAGTTTTACATATTGCACCTAAATTACTGTAAAATCGGCACTAAAATGGCCGCCAATTTTAAATGAGCGGCCATTTTGAAAATCGGCTTTCGAGCAGAACTTCTACCCCCATAGGGTATATGTGTACAAAATATGAATAAAATCGGGCCAACGGTATTTGAGTTATTGCCCGGACGGACGGACGTACGGACGGACGGACGGAGGCGTTCCCTATATCCCTCCGAACTTCGTTCGATGGGATAAAAATGACAATGGTCACGGTTTATTAGAAAAAAATAGTTGACACCTTCCAAAATTTTGTAGATTTGTTGAGCATTGTTCAAATTTGTTGGGCTCTGTTTTAGAGTTTTTTGTTGGGCATTACTGAAGATTTGTACGGCATTCCTTGTATGACTGTCCAGGATTGTTTGTAGGCTAATTGTAGGTTTGCTTGGTTATAAATATTAAGATGGCACCTCTGTGGCCTCTGGTGGCTCTATAGACTGGATGAGTGTGATGTTATCCCCTTTCATCAGAATACGCCCTGAAAATTAGTTAAATATATTAACAATAGTAAAGTGATGATTTTAACACATATATATAGCTCAGGGTTCTCAAACTTCAGAACCCAGGTTTTTCACGTTGTCATGACCACAAAAGTTCCCATGTTTAGTGATCAAAATAGTTTAAAAAAAGATTTCTGAAGAATGATTTACATACTTCTTAGCTCACAAAATAGCATTTTACCCCACTCACTAAACAAGGCATTGACATGCAAATTGTCACCACTTGCCATTTGTTACAAAAACCACCCGCAGCCACAAATAAAAAGTTGGAGACCATAACATTATGTCACCACTTCTAATGATGATACAACTAAACCATGTGTGATGAAAAAATATGAAAACAAGTGATATTTCTCCTAAGTGTTGCATAATAACCCTACCTAGAGTCTTCCTAGCCTTTGTCTTCTGGTGATATTCCTCAGCATCATCTAACACAAGGTTCATGTACTCATCAAACCCCTACAAAACATTCAAACATTTTAGAGAGCTCATCTAAATATGTACATTCAACATAGCACACCTTTTACATGAATCAAATAGATAATTTGATAAATGTGTGGAGTGTAACTTATCGACATCTATTTGATGTCACAATTTCAGGGTTCTTTCCTATAATTCCAGCTCCTCACAACAAATTAAAATTCACACTTTAAACAAAACCGAAATATCAACCAAAAATATGTGATAATGATACCCTAAATAGTAGGGCTCTCACGGTTTCATAATTCCTCGGTTCGGTTCGGTTCACGGTTTTTATCTCCTCGGTTCGGTTCACGGTTTTTATCTCCTCGGTTTCGGTTCGGTTTTCGGTTCTTACCGCACATTAAAGTAAAAAATCAAGTAACTCAAAAGCGATTTCATTATTTAAATGAGCAGCCCGGGAACATGTTTACCTCTATCTAAGTCAGTTTTATTTACAAATTAATCATTAACTTTGTATTGTATTTTATTTATGCGATAATAAATAGATGGCGCGATTTCATAATAAATAAGCGGCCCAGGAGCATGTATAACTCTGATCTATTCTATTCCTAAAGACAGCAAATTTTCAAATTTTTCACACGTACCTTTCTCATATACCATAACAATTTTGCAAAGCCGGCATATCGTTCTTTCCGGGAGAGGAACACCATCTCTCGTTGGAAACCCAAAATAACCCCAACAGTAGGCCTTGTAAGACTTTTGAGCGTTTAGAATGCCGAAATCTTCACCTCTCGTTTCGAGATTCATCTTCCTCTACTTTAGCGAACGGCACTTTTTTTCTGAATTAACGAACCGTTAAAAAACTGAACATCGGAGTTTTCGAACCGAACGTACCGACCGAGGCCCAAGAACCACGGAGCACCGTGGTTTCGGTGCACCGTTAGATCCTTACTAAATAGCCTGTCCTCATCCATATCTTAAATATCTGGTGATTCACTCATTGGAAGGAATATTAAGCGATACAGCAGCCATCCAAATTTATGAACAGCTTTGCACAAAGTCAAGTATTAATTTACCACATTCTAATAATTGTAGGCATTCCCCATTCTCAGTAACAAAAGAATATATGGTTCTTGGGAAGGCATAGATGTTGGACAATGTAAAAATACTGTATAAGGCCAAAATAAATTTTCAATTTTATGTATGATAAATGAGAAAATACTCACCACAATATGCCCTTCAATTCTCAGGTTTGTTTGTTCATATAACCAGATCTGGATACGAGATCTCTGTAAGACAACATATTATTTCTTTATAAATATTTTATTCTTAGAAAATTGCACAATATTAATCATTTTTAGACAATATCATTATAAACATTAGCAATACCTATTAGGATTCACTTACTATAAATATGCCTAATAAGTGACAAAAACCAAGAAAACGCAAAAGGCAACATTACGTACTAGTTTTAAAACAAATGAAAGGATTGGTACATTTATATTTTTAATCAACTTTTATTTTAAATCGACATTGCTGTCATGTCAGTCTCACATACAATATAATAAATTGATGTGAACTTCTTCATATGTTTGATAGTTGGAATAAATCTTTTTCAATTTACTTACATTTTGCAGATACCTGAAAATCAAGTTCTGAAGCAAAGGTTAAGGAATAGAACAAAAGTGCAGATTTATAAGGAAACATAAAATGTACTTTACATTGAAGTGCTTTACATCAAAATTCATTCACTCCTAAATGACCAGTATCATGAGACAAAATGTGACATCAACAACAACAATATTCATCATTTATACTATAGTCAGGCAGTTAAAATATAGCCGTTTTTGGTATTATCATGAAGCAGTCACAAATTTAAGTACATGTATGTTTAATACACCATTAGAATCTTGCACAGATTGCATGTGCGCATACATCCTCAAAATCAAAACTTTCCTAACTCTAGTTCAACAAGTTAAACCTAGTCTGGGCCTTATTTCTTATCTGACATTTCTTGTGGCCCGCCCTAGGCTTAACATCCGTGCCTATTCGGCCCTTGATGCAAAAAATTTTAATGATGGCCTATGGCAGCGCATAGAATTCCATGCGCGTTTTATTAATAACTGATAATGAGAATTTGCAACCAATGAAAGCATAGCACGGAAGTTAAACCCAACCACGGAAACAAGAACACTCAGATTATAAATGAAAGCCGTGGTATTGGGTTTAACTTGTTGAACTATCCTAACTCATGAAGAAAGTAAGTATGTTTAACATTTACTTCATTTTTTTCTCTGACATCATGCTTATAAGAAAAGACTTTATAAGCCAATTCAAAAGCAACCCAAGATATACAGGGTGGTGATACAGAGGGGTGATGTCAATGCGGTAGCCTGACAGTCGCCCCAGGGTATTTCAACATAAAGGGACTTCACTATCAGTTATAAATAAAACGCCCATGTAAATCCATGCGCTGCCATAGGCCACCATTAAATTTTTTTGCATCAAGGGCCGAACAGACAAGGACGTTAAACCTAGGGCGGGTCACAAGATATGTCAGATAAGAAATAAGGCCCAGACTAGGTTTAACTTGTTGAACTAATGTGGAAGTTAAGTTCTTGCCTTTTTAAACACGCAACAAGGAGTATAGTCCTAGTATGTATCCAACAGACAAGTCAGTCTGTTATGATGTACTACTTTCCTGTGGAAATTGCAGTGAAATTTTTTGCACAAAATTATCAATTGGATGAACAATTTCTTGAATAAAATAAACATTACAAAATTTCAATTAAATAGTTGGGTACAATTAAATGCAATAAAAAGTAACACAGCATATTGTCAAGTGGAAATAAAGCTAGTTGAAGTAACAAATGTGAAAATTAATTTTACCCAATCGGCCATTTTGAATAGCACTTCCTATGTAAACAAATATTTAGAACATTAGAGCTGGCATCGAATAGGATTTTAATGTCGACATGTCGGAGCTCTCGATCGACAACGATATCGACATTGTCGGGTCCAATGATATTCGAAAAATGAAAAAAAATTTGAAGAAAATCCGTCTGAATTTTAGATTTTCTAGGCTTGTAATTAGCAATACGATGCACAATAGTCATCCTCACTTGTATGTTTTATATTTAACTTACATGTAAACCATGTTTAAGTATCAGACTTTGACGAAAAAGCAATAAATAGACATAAAACTACGATTTCTGTTGTTATTTCCGGGCAGCCATTGAAAATAAATCTCGAGGGTAAATCTCGAGGGGTCCAGAGACCTAATTCGAGAGCAGGAAGTCGATCAAAACAAAAAAGAAAATTTGAAAATGTAGGCGGTAAAACTTAACTAAAATACACCATACAGCAGGTAGTAACATAGTTCAACGTCGTTGAACTCAATAACGGCGTTCTTTACTATTAGGAATTTTCTTGGGGCAGTTATTGAGTTTAACCTCTTTCTTATTCTTTCCTTTGATGCAAGTTCTGGATCCATCGAAACCATTTTGCCGCGATAACATGCAATTGATACTTGACAATAACAGCGGTGGCGGTAGGCATATATTTTTGTGAGTCATCATGACTCAGGTAGTTTCAAAAAAGTGAGTCACAAGAAAAAAAGTTGAGTCAAAGCTATAAAAGTGTTTTTCTTGAGTAAAAATGCATACAAAATGTAGAAACCACATTCAAAATCTATTTTTTGATTTTGTGCATACCTTTTATTGTACTCTTATAGCACATTAAACTAACAATTAATTAATTAGGCAATTGCAAGAAAAATGTCACTATTAATCATCTGATTATCTGGTCCAGCGAGTCATGGGTGTGAATGGAGTGGGAGAGGAGTTTCTCCCTGTGTGGAGTTACACAAATTGGGGTCAAAGCGTTTCATGTTGAAATTCAACATTTTTGCAATCATTCCAAAGTCTAAAACGGCAATATAAGTCCGACCACAATACTGGGCATCATTTAAATTGAAAACGCTAGAATCTTGTAATTATAAAATGAAACCGAAAGTAGATTTGTTTTCATACCTAATTTATCATCATTACCCCCCTTAATGTGCGATCGACTGGATTTTCATGTGCCCATTATCTATCTTCATAGGATCAGCTTCAGATCTAGTGAATCGAAGATCTTAACTTGAGGGAGTTAATTGAAAATACTTGGTGAAAACTTACGATAGATCGGTCACTGTGAGCACCATTGATAAACCTACTGCGCATTACATCTGCGCATGCTGATGAAGGGGACGGCTCAAGGAAACTTGCTAACTTAGCGAAGGAATTTTGCGAACTTGCGAAGGAAACTAAAGGTTCGTAAATCTAGCGTGTGAACATTCAAGGAAAGATTTTATGCGGTAATTTAGATAAATATACGATCACTAAAATCCTTAGAAGAGAGTATGAAATTAATAAATTATTTTTCAATGTTATGTTCGTTTTATTGCATTTTTGATACGCCCCCTAGCACACGAGATAAACAAATCGAGGGATCGATCAATGTTTTCAAGTTTATCATTGAATCTGAATCACAGGGCTTTAAAAATTATATGAAATACCGAAATAAGAAAATGATCGGTAGGAAGGAGGCTCGATTGCGCTGAACGAAATGTTAGATTTCCGGAATTAGCAAAATTATAAATTTGATCAATCACGTATTTTCACGTATAGGGATCAATTTAACCAAGTACCAAGCGGGGATTTTGCATGTGAAACAAACGTGCGTCAGAAAGACTCGGTAGACAATGAATATTTGCGTAAGAGTTGCAAAAATGTGAGTAAAAAACGTAAAAAATTGCGTTAACGCCACCTCTGAATAATATAAAAACACATAACATCAAGCGATTTAACACAATATTATTGTGTTAAATGTTCATTTATACTCGTAAAATGAGGCTACACTTACCGATCTCTAAAATGACATTTCCGCATGTCCGTCATTGTGTATGTTCGTCCGAGTGTCCCGGGTCGTAAAATTAAACTACTAGCGAAACGAAATTGTTGTCAAATAGATTGATAATTATTATCCAGATCGCGATTACTTGCATTAAAAGATAAATTTTGAGGATAACAGGTATCTTTGATTGATTTATATAGCGCGTGTATACACGCAAAATAGTTATTAATTGCAAACCTACAGTTTGTAAATGCAGTGCCGCGATGACGGTTAATTTCTGACAGATTTGCAATTTCGATGCTACCGAAACTGACCGACATTGTCGTTATATTCCAAACCTGTCTCCAATATTTTCGTAATAACGCAGATGCGAGTAGGTAGTTACCAGTTTCACCACCAGGTGGCTCGTTCGGGTCAGATAGCATGGCGGGTATAGCAGAAAGTTCCCTTTAAATTAAATTACATTTGTTTTAGTGGTTCAATTTTCATATTACCCCTATGTATCTAATAGTTATGCAAATTAAAATATGTCCAGTAAAAGAAAATGTTATCTGTCCAATACAAGAAAAGATATTCCACTTTTTGTGATTTTGTAACATTGGGTCTATGGGGAATCAACCCGAGCGAGGAGTCACACTTTCAAAAAAAAAAAATTTTCAAAGTTGAAAAACAATTTTCGAAATCATATTTCTAGATGTACTTTTACATGTAGATTTCAAATATGACATCACTTTGACTGAATTTTGAATATTTAATAACGTAAATCAAGATTATTTCTACTCGCATCTAGTCTATTATGCATCAATAGGGTCTAAGGGGGATACGGGATGGTGTGTATATATTCATAAGGTATGTATGCATGCTTGAATCACATTCTTTGTGTAATATTAGCATGGTTTCAGGGTTTAATTAGTTCCGCTTGTCGAAACCTGCGGAACGATTAAATTAACGCATCAAGGGCAAAATGATCATGGAGGTTAGACCTAGCCGGGGCCATAAGACAGGTCAGATAAGAAACGAGGCCCAGGCTAGGTCTAATGTTGTTGGACTAGAAGTAACAAAGATTTTAATTCATAGGGAAATAGTGTTTATGTTGTTAGTTCCGACTGTCAATCACGTTGTGTCGACATGGGTGTCGCAGAGAGCATTCGACTGACAATCTACCGTTCCGACATTTGATGCCAGCTCTAGTGCCTTATAGTCTGAATTTACTCACTTCGAGAGCCATGTTAGATTTTGAAACTTATGGCTCTCAAACGGGGAAGTGGACAGCTCATCGATTGTGACCTTTGAAATCGAATTAAGTCGATCAGCGGCCTACTTTTGTTCTCTAACTATGCTATACATCATTATCATCCTTCTGTGCAAGTATTGGAGTGCTGAGGTACTTCCTTTTCGATCAAGACTTGTAATTGTTAGTCGAGTGAATGTCTTTACTGCCGAATTCCAATATGGCGTTATCTGCTCGGACATTTTCGTACATTTCCGGAGGTTGTCCGAACCTAACTAATTCTCAAAATTCATTTCGTTCGTTGCGTATCTAACTCCTAGCAATTTTGGAAATAGGTCTAAAAAACTCAATGGACAATTTACAAGTCTTGATCGAAAAAGAAGTATTTCAGCGCTCTAAAACTAGACTATATCCTATTTAGTCTGAATTATATTCAGACTATAAGGCACCTATGTTAAAGTTTGGTAATTCCAAATGTTTGTTTACATAGGAAGTGCTATTCAAAATGGCCGATTGGGTAAAATTAATTTGCACATTTTTACTTAACTAGCTTTATTTCCACTAGACAATATGCTGTGTTACTTTTTATTGCATTTAATTGTACCTTACTATTTAATTGAAATTTTGTTATGTTTATTTTATTGAAAAAATGTTTCCTCCAATTGATAATTTTGTGCAAAAAATTTCACTGCAATTTCCACAGGAAAGTAGTACATCATAACAGACTGACTTCTAGTCAGTCTGTTGGATACATACTAGCTCTAATACTTACACGGATTGATGATACTGATGTAAGACACAGTTAGAGACCAAAAGTAAGCCACTGATCGACTTAATTCGATTTCAAAGGTCACAATCATTAACTGTCCAAATGTTCCGTGGGAAAGCTATTATATCAAAATCCAAATAGCTTTCGCAGGAAGTAAGTCTGAATATAATTCAGACTATAGTCTAAGTATAGTCCTGGCTAGTCATATAAATCCGACCATCGTATGCTTTATTTGTCATTATTTTTTGATAATTTGGATATTTATTTTTTGTTATTTTCTTGCATACTAGGGTCGTACACACTTCCCGGTTGTAAATTGAGGGAAATGCTTTCCTGGCCTGTTTAGGCAACCAAAATCACACAAATTATGTATTAGAATATGCTCTTCATCGATAATGTATTTAATCCTACCTTACACACGTCAAACGCTTGATAATTGAAGAAGTATAAGAATTTTTCTAGAAACAAATTTTTTCCCCATGTGTAGATGCATTCTGGGTAATGATTGTGTAAAAGTAAAACTCTAGGTGAAGCGAAAAACGAAATTACAATAAATTACGGCAGCCATATTGAGATCGAGATTTCAACTCGAAAAAGTTTATCATCGTCTTATGACAATTGAATCGCCTTCTCAGACACCAAGGAGGGTGAAGAAACCGAAAACAGATATGTTGGTAATAAATAATTACGATTTCGTTTTGGTTGCATGGTTTCACATTTAGACTGTATTCAGTGACCTTGAGTGACCTTGAGAGCCATATTGGAAATTGCTTCAAACATATACGAAAATGATTACATTTCTTCAATTATCAAGTGTTTCCTGTCCTGTGTTTAAGGTAAGATTTAATACATTCTAGTTGAAGCATTGGATCCATTATCTTATCTGTGTAACTTTTGTTGGGCATAGAGGGCAGAAAAGCATTTACCGCAATATACGGGCCTTAATATCCTCGACGCAAATGTTGAAAACAAAAATAAAAAACAAATATCCAAATCGTCAAAAAGAAACGTGAAACAACAACATTAAGTCGAGTTCACTTGACTAGTCCTGGCACGGGATAAAGTGAACCCCAAACAACGGCAATGCACGAGTCAGATGAAACGGATGCCATTATAATTGAAACAGTTTGAAGCACATTTTAAATGCAAATTGCATAACTGAATATTATCATAATTTAGGGTTGATTGATTTCTCAAAAAAAAATTAAAAAAAAACATGATGTTCAGCGAGCTAAAAACCGAGTAACACATTCTAAAATTGTTATCAAAAGGATACGATGGGTTGCACCATCACTTTCTGCACCTTCCCTCCTTTGTAGGCCATGGTTTGTCGCTCCTGTAGGCAACAAAAGTGTAAAAATTTGGACGCGACACAAAGAAGCGGTCCACACGTGAAAAATGGCGGAATTCGTTGCTCCAACGATACGCATGCGCGAGGACTAATTTCCTGTTCCGGTTTAAAATTTGAGGAGGAAACTTTTAAAAAGTTCAGAAATTCTTATTTTATAGCCATAAATGTCCATAATACTGATGATATCCTGACTTGATCTGTTGTTCTACATACTTTCCTTGTTTTTAATATGGACGAAGATGGCTTGCCTATCGTTGGAACTGGAATTGATCTGTCTAAGGTTTGATCATTTTTTCAGAAATAATTTTTCACTTCAGTACATATGATTTAGGATCTAGCTTAGTAGTGAACAGATGCTATTTACATGAGCATTTCCGTTTTACATGTATGTGTCAGTTTTGCCAAATTCTTGTGTCGTTGACAAAATTTTGCATTTATCATTTCAGGTCGGGGCAATCAACCAGAAAAGAACACTCGCCTTCCTGAACCATTTTATCACACATACTGTACGATTCCTCAATCGGTTTTCCTGCGTCTGTGAAGATAAACTTGAGCATCTTACAGTTAGGATTCAGCGACTTGAAACAACGATGAGTGTCCTTGAAGCAAAGGTAGGTGAAACGAAACCACACTATGGTGATAAAAAATCATGAACAGTTTCAGGAAGAGGCACAATAATTTACCAAAATTCGGTATCATTTATAGGTGTTTTATTACCATATGGAAAATTTAGAACAAATATAAATGGTGGATCATCAGCGCAGGTGATTTTGAAAGATATTAGTTTGCTTTGTACAATTCATGTGAGTTGTCTCTGATGATAATGTAAAATTGATTCAGGCTTACAGCCCTTTTATGTCTTTACTATACTATAATCCGATATAATCTTTCAGCTTTCTTCTATTCCTGGCTTAGAAAATGTGACATTAGCAAATAGTGGCAGTTCTACTCAAAGTGCCGCAACCCCTGCAGCTCCTGCTGCTTCAGCAACCCCAGCTGGAGAAGGTCCAGTTGCTCCCCCAGCTGCCCAGGTGAGATGAAACATAGTTTTTATTAGGGTTAAAGGTAGAATGTTTTCAAAATTGCAGGCAACATATTCTGTGTTTTAGAATTTATTGGAGAGTCTAAGATATTACATCAGTTCAATAATATCTCTCTTAATGTCATAATGCTTGGTTCCAGGGTTTGCAAATATTTTGCCTCCTCATTCTTTTGCCCATGGAAAGTCTTAGATATTACATCAGTTCAATCAATCAGTTCAATCAATCTCTCTTAATGTCATCGGTCAGTCACAGTGGCGTAGCGTAGCAATTTTACTAGGGGACGCAAAATTCCAAAATTGGGATGGGGGGGGTTTACCCGATACGCATTCATTTCCACTTGAAATTTACTCATAAGTAGGCCTACTCATTATAAGTCTTGTAGAAATTCGCTTTCTCCCTGGATCAGTCAAACAATCACGCAGTGCCTTGTCTCCACGTAGATCATCATAATCTGGTCCATTTCTACACAAAAATAATTTTGAACATTTAAAAAATCTATTATCGTTGTAAAAATCTTACCTGAATAATTTACACTGAACAAAAAGATGTCTGCAGCAGACAGCACTGTTGATTACTCTTATTCAATGTCTTCCGATAAGATTTATGGATGAAAGGTACAGCCAAATCTTGCTTGAATATTATTATAGTATATAGATATTAGCGTAATTGATTAACTATCCCTAATCATTAAATTCAAAGATACTTACGCCAAAACTGGAGCTGGATTCGGCACATGAGCAGCCATTGTGTACTTAATACGGGGAGGTAATAATAAGAGTTATTCCATAATAACATGTTTTCCCTGGGAAAATAACAGGGAATAAAAGTGTTATTTGAAAAATCCCGTATCAGATCCCGTATCAGCCAAAATCCCGTATCAGATCCCGTATTGGATCCCGTATCAGCAAAAATCCCGTATCAGATCCCGTATCAGAAATATTCCCGGTAATTTCTCTTGAGTTTTACGCTTTTCGTCTAGCACATCTCTACAGGAAGTAAAAAAATCGTTTGGAAAATTGAAATTATTATCATCTAGTTTACGTCTATTACTGTGACAAAGGTCTATTACTGTGACAAATATGTCTAGGTATGCAACAGAGGATGTTGATGACTTCATTAAAATTGAAAAAAAAATATTATGAAATAAATAGGTTATTGATGGTCGTGATGGAATATGGATTTATTCCTTGAGAAAATATGATATTGGCTAAGGAAAATATCATATTGACACTCGGGCTATCGCCCTCAGTCAATATGATATTTTCCTTAGCCAATATCATATTTTCCCTCGGAATAAAATCCATATTCCATCCCTCCCATTAAATAACCTCTATGTATAATACATAAGAGTATTCACGAAATTATGAGAGTATAATTTGAAAGAATCATTAATGACATGTCGGGACTAAAATAAACACCTAATTTCTATGGTGGAACCCTGTTCAAAGATACGAAATGATAAGGTTGAACAATGGCTTTGCTTATTAAAACTTGAGAAATTTAGAATTTCCAAATATTCAGATAAACATTGGATTGTTCCAGTGGACGCATTTGCGTACTTTGCGTAAACGACGCTACGCCACTGGTCATTAGTTTTATTGCTTTTTCCTTTTGAAGGCAGAAGAAACTAGCACAGCACCTGCAGCACCCGAAGAACCAGAACAAAGCAGCACCCCAGTATCAAAAGATCCAAGATATCAAAAGTATTTTAAAATGGTTAACATGGTAAGACATTTTAAATATCTAGCTGCCTTTGATTTTTCAATTCAGTGCACATATTTATCATTGTCGCAGGAGGAACCATAAAGGGTATATGGAGGGACTTTGACTTATAAAAAGTAGGATTTTAGACTAAAGAAAAGTCAGATACATGGAGATACATAGTTAAAAGTAGATGAGAATTTTACAAAAACAAAAGTTCAAAGAAGAACTATGAAAATAAATCAGATCATCCATGGTTCAAAGATATTTCACTTCTTTTCTGAGCTTGGCTAGCAGCAAAGCCTGAACATGAAATCAAGTACCCGTAATAGTACCTTGTGAAACTCATTAACACCAGAGAATAAAAATAGGTGGCATTAAAACACCTGATAAAGCGTATTATATTATATTAACAAAGAGACCATGCACTGCACTGCTTCACAATCATAACCTGCAACTATTTGAAGATATTCATTACATATAGATGGCATTATAGGAGAAAAATAAATCCTGATTCAGTAATATTTCACAGATTTTAACACTAGACAGTCTATTCACTGTATATTCTATAAAATAGGCTTGTTAAACATGAACATATATCATGTGTGGTATTATGTACATGTATACACATATTCAAAACCATACATACAGTACATATATGCACAATATCAAATTATATACAATGTGGAATATCTCCTTTCTAGGGCGTCCATGAGCAGGCTGTAAAGATGAAAATGAAGACTGAAGGGGTAGATCCAGATTTATTAGAGTAAGTTATCAGATGATATTTAGTACTATAGTTTAAGAAATACCATTGACTGTCATATTTTAAAAACCTTGAAATGTGAACACCTGCTAATCTGAGCACTTTTGGCCAGTCCAAGTGGTGTTCAGATTAGACAGGTTTTACTGTATTTATGACTCATCACATGTTAATAACTATTTTGCATTTGTTAATTCCAGTGACCCTAATGCTCCTGCCCCACCAGCAGATGACAACAGTGACTCTGACTTTAGTAACAATGATAGTGACAGTGATGATGATTTCAGTGATTAAGGGGGGAGATGTCTATTGAAAGTTCCACACAAAATTCCACACATTTTATCAACTCCTTGAACCATTCCTGAAAGCAAAACTGACAGTGTGAAACATTTTAAATTGAAAAAAATGTATCTTCTATAGTAACAAAACAGGCTTTTCATAACTAATCAAATAAACAAATTTGAATGTGTAGAATTTATAATTTATCCTTGGGCCAATCAGTGAGGATACAAAGGGAATGCTTGAAGCTCAAATGTTTTTATGTGATTATAAATTTGAGTCAAATTGTAATATATTTTGGATGAGCACCACCATATTTGGCCATATAAATGTAAAATGAACGTACAGAAACCTGTGTAAATGGAACACTTTTTGGAGCCCTGTGACAAATTGAATGTTAAATGAACCTCTATAGTGGAACACCTCTCCTAAAGGTACAAATTGAATTCCACTTACACAGGTTTAACTGTATATCATTATTTAGATTAAAATGCTGCATGAAGAAAGTCAGAGATTGATATGGAGTTGTCTTATAGAGAACAACATAACTTTTGAAATAGGCAGTGTCAAAAATCTGCGTAATACTCATGCATGAATGTTTGTTATCATACTTAAAACTTCTTTCATATATTAATGTAGAATTCTGGCAAATAAATAGGGTTCGGGACAGGGTGAGTTGTGAGAATTTTCAACCTCATGGTCAAAATTGAAGTCCAGACTGGAGGTTATCGCTCGCCCTGGTTGAAGAAGATTTTTAATCTAACCATTCCAAGATATGTGACATCACAATAGCTATAACAATTGATTTCCTGGTCTATATTGGAGTATGTATGATTGCTAAAGTTCATATATGCAAATAGTTGTTTTTCTTGTGTGTTTATCATATTAGAATTGTAACAAAGACCTTAATTTTATGATTTATGTCAAATATATGACCTCAAGTTTTATTATGGCCATTGCCAAAGACCTCAATCGCTACATGATTTCAGTCTTAACAATGAACAGAATAAAAGTTTCAGTCATACATTACGCCATAAATCTTAAAATCTTGGTCTTAATTCATGTTAAATTTAGAGTTACATGGTGAGGCTTTGTAGAGATGCACTACAGAAGCAAAACTTCTGAGATGATTCGTTTAGTTCTGGAGAATAATTCTATTTTTTATATCAAGGTGAGAGTCCCTTTGTTCTGATTGGTTAATGTAGTACCATGTGATCAAAATAACAAAAGCCATTTCAAACCTACCTCATTTTATGAGCTGATAAAACATTACAGTATTGCCCTCTGTATTGACCAATCATGGATTCTGATCAAGGGAATACCAAGAAATTATATAATAAAACAAATATTTCATTCTATGGTTGCCCAATACCTGTTATAATTTCAATGACTTTTGCCTGGCTAGTGGCTGTGTGCAGCCTCCAAAGATCATTGAAAGATGAACATGTTTTGCCCTCCAAAGTATGAAGTAATCTAATTTTCTCCAGATATTTAGAGGTTATGTCACTATCGTGGCATATATGCCCGAGGTCTCAGTGATATATGGCCCGACCTTGGGAGGGACATTGATCTCTGAGAACCGAGGGCATATGTGCCACGATGGTGACATAAACGATTTATAACATACCTATGATGATGTAGACTGGTCAGAGAGTACCGTTTTCTTAAAGAATTGACAAACAAATGGTTTGAAAATGATTGAAATGAGTTTAGAAAAATTGCTCGCACAGTTTTATCTTCGATTGATTGGTTATGACGTCAGCGCCTTGACCAATCAGAAAGTTAGCGGGCGCGGGCTTTTCAAAACTTATATTGGCCCGCTGTCTCGTGTACACTTTGCACTATACATCATCATAGGTATGTTATAATCTCCATTATGCCATATGTATATCTGTATATTGAGTGTACATATGTGAACATGTATGTATATTATAAGTGCAATTTATAGGGAAATGTCCCACTATGAGATTGTGATAATAAAAATATTATTTCAATGATCAATATCTTTGAGTAGATTTATCTAACTATTTGATGAGGGGCGATTAAATATTAAGTAGAAGAATTGATTTTGTGATTAGTTTAATATTTTGATATTTCCAAATGATGGTAGAATATCCTAAGGTAATAATAATTATAATGGTTCTTGAATTGAAATTCACACATGGCTAGACAAGGTGTGTCCAATCCAAACCAATCTGGACACATTATTTCATATAACTGCACTGCATTATACAACCAACAAACAATCCAAGGAGGCTTGGCTCCCAAGGACGCAACTCAATATTTTCCAACAATGAAAATGTCAGAATGTCGTTATTTTCTGACATATTAATTGTCTATAAATTCATATCAACAGTCCAAAAGATTTGAACTAATATCTTGATCATTTCTTGGTTCTAGAATTTTTTGTTTTGAAATAAGACCAAAACTCACAATTCAAATTCTGAAGTAAACAAAATGGCGTCAGGTTGGAAGGAATTCGGATTTTGTAATCACAACATCTCCATATATGGCAGAATATCGAGTTGGAACCCTGGGAGCCAATGCTGCTTGAAACCGCCCAAGGTCATATTTTGAATGGTTGTCAAAGTGACAACTTAAATCTATAGATTGAAACTTTCATTGCTAATATGTTCTTTTAGTGATTTCGTGTCTTTACGATGATTCCATAGAAAATACTTTGCAATGTGTGAATTGTGGCTGATTCATTCCACTCAGACGTTGTTTCTTAATCTCAGCACTCGATTCTGTGAATCTTGTGCAAACGACAATCTGCCCACAATGCACTGATTCTAGGGCTTAAATCCTTAATTGACCAGCTAAAAATACATTAGGTGACTGTACATCAATAATTTGACCTTGTTTCTTCCATTGCTATAATGGTATTACATTTCTATTCTTTCTGTAAAACTTTAACATTTAATGCACTATTTACACAGCTTTTGTACTAAAGCTTTTTAGCCAGGTATTCATTGGAATCTTATTTTACAAAAACTTAATGCATTGACCAATGTAATTCTCTACCCAAGGATTCCTCTATTTTGTGGATTCACTTCACATGTTGGAACTAGAACACATTTCGTTCAGTTTGCTCTTCTTTTTGTGCATTAAAATATCTGGTCAATAACAAAACTATATTTCATTAAGCTGTTATTAAAATATTTTTGTTTCACATTGTTGATTTTTGCAGGGGTGTGTTGCCCATTTGGCTTTGGTATTTCATACACCTGTGGTCAATACACACTGCATTGCAAGATGGCCTCCAATAGATGAAATATTTGTTCAATATTTATTGACCAGTGTAGATCCTTTGATGTAGCAACACTATAGATACAGTAACATTAAACCATGTAATCTTCTTACCATTAAAATAAATCCTAATGGACATGCACATTTAAAAGATTATCCTAATGAGTGCAAAGATTTTCCCTGGAATGACATTTGAAATTTATCCGCAATTTCAGCCGACTTAATATATCCTAATTAACCTTATTATTTGCCTTACAGACAAACCAATAAAAAGAATGAGACCTTTTCAGTAAAGATGGATGAAAAGATAAAAAGAAGACTTGAAACAAATGTTATTTTTACTATTGTAAACCAAATTTATGATATAAAATCTCATGTAATTTTGGGTTACTGTAAATTAGTTTCATTTTGCACTATTTAATTTAGCATTTTCCCTATTTTCTGGACAGTGGCAAACATTGGTTGGATTTTCAAAAAACCTTTGAAGTACCACAAGATTAACACTAGCATATAGGCATTAGGGGGATGCTATGTTAATATTTTATAAAAAGTTGTATTTGATGGAGGTTTAAATTGTCAAACTTGGACAGAAATAGTGAATTACCAAATGAAAGTGGATGCCAAATTGAATCAATTTACAGTATTTGGTTGAACAGTATCAAGTTATTTAATTATACTTGGTTTAAATGATTACATGTAACACATATTGATTTCCTATGGATAAAACTAACTAATGAGAAGACTCGCAAAATAGAACAAGCCAATACAATCTAGATTTCCTACATTTTCTTACAAAATACAACAAAGATGAAGCAGTTAACATGGAATTAAGTCCATGTATATGGAACAAAAATTTGACAGAGACTTTAAATTGCTAAACAGCAGCCTTGACCATATTATGATGAAAAATAGTCAGTTGAGACTTTTTTGTCAGGTATAGCACCGGATGGGCTATGGACACTCTTAAACAAAAGACATGCAATCAACTCAGCAGATATACATAGAGTGGAGACAATTACTACACTACATAAAACAATATAACATACATCTGATTGAAAACACTGTGGACTTCTATTGATTGAGTTTCATAAAGGATAAACAGAATCAACAAGAGAAATCAACATAGAGATGTAATAATTGTAGTTCCAATATTAATTTTATATTTCTGTATTTATATAGCATTTAACTCATCACAATTGACATGGGATATGATAACACTAAAGGATGGAAGCGAGAAAATATTATTGATTTCGATGCATGATTGATTGCTGGATTTGATAAAGCCTTGGATTTAGATTCAACACACAGCTGTGAAAGTAACAAATGTTGAATAAAATATCATCATTCTACTTGTTGCTATGAGAAATCATCAATAAAATGATTGTTGCTAAGGAGATATGAGCCATCAAATTTCTTGGAATTTATATTACAATTAATCATTGTTACAAACAGATGTATTTTAAATATTTAGACATGAATAGAAATACAGATACAATTGTAATAAGTGGAACATCTTTTAGAAGACCAAGAAAAACAAGAGTGCTAGCGATGAATGGACATAATGTAACGCTGTATGACTCTCTAGGTCAAGGAGAGGACTTGACCTTGAGAGGTCAAGATCAACAGAGGTCAAACAATCAAACATATACACCATCATGGCTTGATGAAAGCCTCTCGAAATATAAACTGAATAACTTTGGAGCGACAAAAACTAAATCACACATGGAAGGGAGTGTCAAATTGGATCCTTTAACTGAAACTAGCGACAAGAAAACATCTTTAAAAGATCGGGACTTTAATAATGAACTCCATGTTGAGCTACCCATTGCAAACAAACCCCATCACAGGTCATTTCTTGATAGAGATCTATCATACTTGTCTAAAGTTTTCAGTGATGTCACAATGGAACAAGATGACACAGCTTTGGCACCCACAGATAAACTGAGGCAAGCAAAATCTGAAGATCTGCTCTCCATGGAAACTGGAAAAAACATTGCCATGGATACTCACACTGATGTAATTATCCATCACAAACCTAAAACCAAAAACAGAATAAATATGAAATGCCCTACCAGCATAGAACAGAAGAAAACAGACATTAAATCTACACCCAATAAAAATACTGAATTTCGTCAGTTGATTGTTCGAGATTTCACATTTTCAGGGAAGAAATTCCTGGATAAAAATACAGCAAAGAGAAAATTTACCCTCCCAAAAAATAAACGTAGAGATAGTTTCTCAGGTATTCCAAAGTTGAAAACAAACAAAAATCCAAAACGCAGCGAGACATTTGGAGTACAAAAATTGGATAATTTGGAAAAGGAATACAAAAAGTTGCATGAATCTCTTGTTAATACACAATGATGTAACTGTAACACAGTCTCTCTTCATCACAATGGAGATATGTGTTGCATTGTATCCAAACAGACAATGAGAGTTTCTATAGTAACTGTGGAACAATAATTAAACAAAAGGACAATGCAATCAATGGCTCAACTCATACTTTTAAATGGTACTTTCAAATGGTACTTTTAAATGGTATCGCTTGTGCAATTTTTGAACAGAGGAATAGCTACAAGTACACCAGGTAGTTTTAATTCTGTAAGTCTCAGCAGGGAGGTCTTTTTGAATGGGAACTCTTTGGACTGGCTAAATAGACTGGATTCCAAATATTGGACTTTGAACACGGGAATCAATGGAAGAAAGCATTTTTGGATAAATGATTCCTTATATACAATCACTTGAACTCATGTAAAGAGGTAATATGCAAAAGTATTGAAATTTACACCTTTAGTAGACATTGATACAATATGCAGTTATTTCTAGTAAATAGTAAATCTTAGCAAAAGTAGTGACTAGTATTAGACATGGCACATGCAAATGATGAGAGGTACAAGCCCATTTCATGATTTTTTTATCATCATAGAATAGAATGATTGTATAATCAGAGTCTATAGCTGGTACAAAGTACAGGGTATTTTCACTTTTACCTGACACTAAGCAAACTATTTTGAAAATCTTAAACAATCCATGCCCTGTTGTAACCCACAGGGGTTTCATTAGCAGCAAGCATAAGGTGATTTTCAGCGATTGTTTTCACAAAATCAGCTGTTGTTTTTAGGGACTTTTCAACTTGTCCATGTTAAATTTATGATTTCCATTATTGTTTTCATTTATTTAGCCCCTAACTCTCTAACTCCATATATTAGATCACTTGGAATAATATTGAAATTATTTTTCATTTCATTTATTCATATTATACTTTTTACAAAGTGTTCTATTTACATTTACAATAATATAAAATTGAATTGTAATATTATATACAATATGGTACAATTAACAAAGAGTAAAGAAACATAGCTCTTAATAAAAATAAAATAATTTGACATGTAAACAGCAGTCATACATTTGTATTAGGCACTATAAATAAATTATAAATATTTTGGACGGAATCTTCAATCACATTTGGATGGAATTCAATAATCATCAAATCATATAATTGGACGGAGAGAATGAGAAAATGGATTTTCAAATCCTATCAAGTGTAAAATTCAAATGTATAAAATATACAACATATTTACAAATATCCATAAAGTGATGTTATGTTAATTTTGGCTCATGCGAAATACCTAAAGATGAAAGTATCACATTTAATGACAATTTTAAAACAGCATAGGTACATATGTAAAATGAACATGTACAGGTGTTTCATTTGAAGCAGGCCATGTTTCTTTGATTGCTTCAAAAAGATAGCTTTGTTATTCTTCAGGGATTTTGCAATTGTTCCCATGTTAAAAAAATGTTAAAAAGACCAATAATTGAATCCGTTGTTTTTTACCTTTTGTTAGGCATTCTAATGGAGTAGGAATCCCTGATATACCAGTAAATTATAGTGCATGTTTCATTTCCAGTTCTGATTCAATGATCTCCTGGAATATATCCTTTGAAATAAATCCTTGTACACTTCTTAATCAATGCTTATATGCTTCACATTTTCCTGCCATGCTGTACAGAATACATTGAGATTTTTATGCCTTTAGATACCACAGATTCATGCTTGTAAAGCTGATTTTGGGGGTACATCTGAGCATTTCATCTTGACAAATCTGTCCAGTTTATGGTCAAAGTCAATGGCTCGATCTTTTGGCTCTTTGAATTTCACTGTCATAGTGTCACCAAGGTATTTGATAAGTTCACAAGATTCTTCAAATTGCATCAGTCTTTGTTTGTATTTCTTCCTCACATATTCTGAGCTCTTAGGGTTGTATGCTGGAAAGATAATAACATACAGAATGTTGCCTTATATGGACTTTCTTTAAAAATGATATTCTTCAGGTTAACCCTTACATGTCATAGAATGTTGGATTATTTGTTAAAATGGGCTCCAAATCAAAACAAAATCTGAAAGTACTGCTTCAGTTAATGGATATTTCTCGGGACTTCATAAGTCATACACCTAGAGATTTTGAAAATGCAGCTACAATTTTTTCATACAACAGACCTTTCCAATAAATCTCAACCCCTTTTGCATGATAGTTTCATGACATTATACTGTATTTTAAACTACAATTCTTTCATACAACAGACCTTTCCAATAAATCTCAACCCCTTTTGCATGATAGTTTCATGACATTATACTGTATTTTAAACTACAATTTTTTCATACAACAGACCTTTCCAATAAATCTCAACCCCTTTTGCATGATAGTTTCATGACATTATACTGTATTTTAAACTACAATTTTTTCATACAACAGACCTTTCCAATAAATCTCAACCCCTTTTGCATGATAGTTTCATGACATTATACTGTATTTTAAACTACAATTCTTTCATACAACAGACCTTTCCAATAAATCTCAACCCCTTTTGCATGATAGTTTCATGACATTATACTGTATTTTAAACCCCTTACCTTTGAGATGATATGCTACGTATAACAAGGCAGATTTTGAAGGTGTCAGGAATGGGTATTTAGGTTTAAACAGTCCTACAGCTGTTAATGCCTTCTGTATGGCTGTTGCCACAGACTGTTCCATATAACCAAGCATTGGGAGACCCGTCACTGTAATGTTGTCCTTCCTTGGGGGAAGTTTGTGGGGTAGCTTTAGATTCCAGTATTTTTCAGGTAATCTGAATAAAAAGATTGAACATGAGACATTTCACAAGAGACATATCTCCGAGACATAAACAGTATATAATCAGAATCTTCATTTTTTGAAAAAAGAGTAAAATGCTTTGGAAGTGGAGGGTGGAATCAGTAATTTTTAATCAATAGTTTAAAACTATAATTTCCATATCAAGCTTAGATATGTAATACATTTCCAGTAATATATAGTCACATAATCCCTCATGATGCTTTGTTCCATCATATATTCCTTGGAATAAAAACCATATTCTTTATTCATGGAATAACATTTGTATATACATGCACTGATAAAATCTTACCTCATAAACTTTTGTAATTTTTCTTCTTGTTCAAAATAATACAGTTTATCCCGATACTCGACCACAAGTTCTGGATCTCCAGGTTTAATTGCCTCATAGCGACACTTCCCATCTAGGAATGTCACAGGACAATAGCCCTGCAGCTCGATCTGTTTCGGGAAAAGATTTTTAACATCTCCTGCAGTGCGTCTGATTGGCAATAGTTCCTTTGGCGGAAGTGGACGTGGTGCTAATGGTGGCACATATTTTTCAGGTTCTTCTAGGAATTGTGATAGTTCTTTCTCACCAGCCATTTTGTAATAGTGACCTAAGTTCAAATACAGATTATCATACTTCTTGAAAAGATATCATTAAACTGTGTTCTGTCTTTCATCAGCAACAAAAAACCAGATGAGCCATGAAATTCAAGGATTCCTTAATTATCACTAAAATACAGATAATCATCAAGTCACAATAATATTTAAACAATATGAAATCCTCAAGTTCAGTACAATTCTCTTTTATGAAAGCAACAAATAAATTAATAATTTTCTGAAACATCAGATTATTACTGATAAATCTCAAATGCATAGAGGTTGGATCAACATAACCATATACTGCCATACTGTACTACTGTACTACCATATACAGTACATACATACCTCTAAACTCTGCAGCAAATGTGAGATCCTCAGTGACAGAGCAATCAACCAGTTCTCCCCTTAGAGCCAAGCTCACTGGGCAATACTGATCATAGTCCCCAAGTCTCACTACAAACTCACTGGGTGTGATGCACATATCATTGATAGAAGCTGCTTTACCTGCAAATGGAGGGAAGAAGGGGAATGAAAGAGAGAAATTGGAGCTTTACATCAGGGTTTGAAACTCACAGCTGTGTAACTTCAAATGGCGTTATCATGTTTCGCTTATTGATAATGCACTTGAAAAACTAGTTGCATATTGGGCAATGGACTGAATGCCAATATGTTTAATTCGTGGCAGGCATTTTTTCAAACTCATGATGATTTGTAGGATTTTTGTACATGACTTACCATCTGCAACTCTTTGAAGATATGTCTGTATTTGTTGAACGCTAGCCTTGCTGATGTCTAGAGCCTCGTTCCAGATCCACCATTTTGACCTTTCACCCTTCACCTAGATTAGCATTTGGAAATATTAATCTCAGCATAATACAAATAAGATTTTTTTGACAGTGAGGTGTTCACAGAATTGATATTTTCCATAATAGATTGCTATGCATTCATAATTGTTTCTAATTGAACCATGGTTTTAATATTTTACTATGGTATCTTTACATATTTCTAAACCTTACCTGCACAAAATTCCTATGTTCACTGCGGTACCATTCTCTTATCTCGGATATGTGCTTCTTCCATTGAGCCAGCCGTATTGCTAGGATTTGTGAACTGTCGTGTAGTGGTAATACTCTATAAGAAGATAATAATCAACCATATTATTACCACAAGTTCTTTAGTCCATGTCTTATTTTATCACTACAGCCTTTTCTGGCAAAAGTGTTATCTCTTGGAAAAACTTTGTTCATTTTCCCAGAAACTATTTTTTTTAACTTTTCCAGAAAATACAAGGGCTGTGGGAACCCTTTCTAAGAATGCAACCATATCTAAAGTAATGCCATACATATTTTGTGAATATGACAGTAGAGTTATTTAAACCCATACCTTAATGGGGAATATCTGTCCTCAGTGCCTCTGACCATCACCTCCTTGCTCTCCAACGTAAGCTCTATGACACGTACTGGGATAATACTGCGCTCCGTCATTAACTCTACTTGGCGTTTTGTCATTGGATAACCATCCAACACAAATCTACAGTAATAAAGAAATAATAAACATACTTATATGATAATTTTATGACATCTGTACTGTAAATATGTATATTGGAACACATCTCCATTTGAATCCTGGAGCAGCTGCCTTCCAACCATACACATGCACAGGGAAAAGTTACTTGTATTCAAATTGAAATAAATCTTATATGTCATTATTCAGGACATTATTAATGCCAATAAAGCATAACAATTGTAATAAATATAAACAAAATACAGAAAATACAGAAAAAATTGAAAAAAGTAAAAGGTAATATATAAAACATACCCCCTTGTCTGACACCTCATATCCGTGGTGGCCACTTCCAGGGCTTGAACTGCTAATTCATCAGGGCATGTTAACCCCTTCTGCAAGTGCTGGTTGATTTTACGAGCAAGTTCTGACTTTGGCATAGTGTCCACAACAAGACGCAAGGCCTCGCCAATAGAGAGCCTCATCAAACCATACTCTTCTTCAAATCTCTCTGCCACTGAATAAATAACAAATAGGCAAATTTAGATGTTATATTACACTCTTTGAAGAAGGAAATAGCTATAAGAAAAAATGTATTTTACCCACAATTTTGGAAAATTCGTGACACTATCTTATAATTGAAACATTGAAAATGTATTTGTAACATGACTTAATAAACAGAAAAAAGACATCTAACGGGAAGATGGTTCTTCTAAAATATTTGCTGCTTGTGCAGTATGGCATATCAACTTACATGTTGTTTTGCCTGATTTTGGTGGACCAATGACAGCTACACGTACAGGCACTACAGGTTTTGGACTAGGCTGTTTGAGAAATGTCATAGGGTCTTGTACGAATTCATCCCTGGCCTGTGGACTAGACAAGTAGTATATATGTTGTCTATATATACAGGGGTATGTTGCATAGCCTAATCCCTGCATTGGTTGGATGCATTCTCCCTCGTGTAACTGTAACAAAGATGTAAACATTTTGTAAAATATTGAAAAGTATTTTGTAAAAACTGAAGAATGTTTAACAAAAATCAGGAAGGATTGGACTTCTATCACTCTGAAAATTCAATGAACAAAGTTTAAATACAGCAAATCAATATGATTTATTCAAGAGGGCATCCATAGGAATGGGCCACAAACCTGATCTGAATATACAATGTGCAAATAGATGGCAATAGTCGATTTGGATGGGCTAGAATATCATTACTTGATATGAAGAAACTAACCTGAACTGGGCACCAGCGTCCAAACCTACTGGGTTGTTTATAGCCACACTGTAACATTTTCTTGGCCATTCTTTCACTGATGGAGTACACACGTTCGAATATACTATGACGGTATTGTACAATGTTCTTTAAACCTTTAGTGAGGGTGTATCTAATAATGTGAGGTTTTCTCCCACCATCTAGCTCTATGCGGGGAATAAGCAGCTCTTCTAAGACATCCTGGATACACAAAAAGCATTTATTGAGTTATCTTCACAAGAAATCTACATAACATGTATTGAATTTAACCTCAACCTCTAGCCTAATCATTTATTCAATCTGAAAACTGCATCTATTCTTGAAAAACTTAATCAATATAAAAACTTGTTCTCCTAAAGGGCTGGCATGATTTCACACATATTCATAGACTAATTTAATTGGTTATGAACAAAGTACATTGTTGCACCTCAGCTTCATATTTACCATATCAAACATGACACAAATTGTCCAAGTGTTCCCCACAAAATGCAAACATGTCATTTTAATTTGCAGTTTTTCCTACATTTTCAGTATTCTTGGGTTATTCCTATGACATTTGCTCCTTTACCACGTTTATTACTTTGTAGAATTCACTGACCTGTACTACAGCTAGACTATTAGTGTCATTATCATATACATCAGCCAGATCATTGCGTATCCTGTCAATTGCATCTTCTTCCTGCTCCTCATCATCGTCCTCTTCCTCCTCTTCTTCCTAAAGAAACAAATTTTCTCTTAATTTTACATTTTAAGGTATTGATAAAAAACACGATAGTGAATGATTACGAGATAAAAAACCCTATATTGAAGCTCCAAATTTGGTGAAAAATTGGTCAGTTGATTCAATGGAAGCATTGGCACCTACAACATTATGCAAAATCTGGAGGAATCTCTTAATTAAAATATAGAATATCACTGAATTTTACCTCAAACTCTTCAGCAAGGATTGCTTCAATGTCATCTTCTTCTTCCTCTTCTTCTTCTTCCTCCTCTTCTCCTTCAGCATCAGAGTTGTCACTATCTCTTTCACCCCTTTCTGCAAGTCTCTGCGCCTTTCTCTCGTCAAACTCTTTCTGGAGTTCTTTACGCCGCTTTTCAATCTCTGCTTCCTAAACACAAATGATTCAAATGTAGAGAACCATTATTTTTTATCCAAAATTATCAAACAACACTAGTATGGCTACTTTCATGACTTATGCAATATAACTAACACTGATAACATGTCATTTCTGTTTGGCAGAAATGTGTAGATTCCTCAATATCTCAATCATTCGACAACAGACTATTGATTTTAAGATGCCATAGGTGTATGAAATATTATAATTTTATGAAAAGTGGCTTACAAATGATTGATTTTAAGTTTGTGAAATAGTTTTGGTTCTTAATCTTCCATTAGCCAGAAAACTAGATAAGTGAGACCACCAGTTGTCCATGTTGGTAGAAAAATAATGGCCCAATACGAGACTATTTTGTGAATTTCTTACCCTTTTCTTCTTTGCCTTTTCCTTCTTGGCTTCCTTCTTAGCAAGACGTTTATCACGTTTGACTTTCCATTTGTCTAATTTTGGAGGCAATAAGCGACCAATCACATCTTCAGGCTCTACAACTATTATAATAGCAGCATCGGGGAAAAGTCCAAGTTCCCCTAAATAACGTACTTCATCTTGTGTTCGTGGGAATCCTTCGAGTACAAAACCAGTTGACCTATAAATGCAAATTTCATTATTATTTTGAAATGTTATGCTTTTTATTGAGTCTTAATAAACATAGAGTCAGGATAGAACAAGCCATGACTCTTTCATGATTACCTTTTCAAATCTCAATAACTTTTCATGAAATTTTCGCATAGGATAAATTCAAAGCATTCCTTACATACAAAATATTTTGATTAACTCAGAATGTATATTATCATATCAGAACAGTATTGTAGGAATAACATACTTGAAAGGTTCCTTATTCCACCACTGAGGGACAATGTTATTGAGGACCTCCTCTCCTAGTGGTTCTTCATCAGCAAGGTTAGACTTGATGGCTTCTTCATCCTCTGTAAGTTCAACTTCCTCTTCTTCCTCCTATATGAACATCAAACAAGATATTACATAGGAGACTAAATGTGTACTACCCTTTGCAATTATAATTTGATTCACTTTGATACTCTTTACATTACAGATAAATCTAATGCACTTTAGCCACTTACTGTTCTTGTTTAATTAAATACATTAAAAAAAAATGATTTTCGTAGATGCAAACTTAAAGTGTTGATCTGTTCATACCTCTTTCTTTTCTTCTTCTGCTTCAGTTTTCTCTGGTTCAGTTGCTTCAGCCTTCTCTTCATCTGTCTTAACTCCTTCTTTCTCCTCCTCTTTCATGGGAGTACCATCAGGGTTGGTGATGGCGGACTCTGGCTCCTCTTCCCTAAAATCAAATAGTAATAAGTATTGATATAAAGTATTTCTATTTCCTCAGGGTAATCAGGTTTAGCAGTTTTATTTTTCTGGATTGCAAAGTTCATTTGAAAAGTTGAATGAAAAGTAGTTTATTGTCTTCTCCCAAAGGTTATCATATTCTAGGATGTGTACTTATTCCTTTTCTTCATTAATAAAAATCAGCTCTAAATTCTGCAAGTGCTTCATAGAAATATTTCATCGGGGACATCTGATAGTTTATGGTTTCTTTGAAAAATCATTACACACATGTAGTATATGACTAGGCTGATAAGGCATACATCTGAAAAGGCACACCTAAATTATCATAAATATTATATATAGGCAATTTTGTAATGAATTAATACATAAAATCAGAACATACTCTTCCTCTTCCTCTTCTTCTTCCTCATTGTCCTCTTCATATTCTGGACCAATCTTCTTCTTCGTTTTAGCAATAATCAGCTCCTGGAGACGGTCCCGGAACTTGATATGGAAGAGTCCAAGCTTTCTTGCTAGATGGCGCCCATGTAGACTTTTACCGGAGCCCTTGGGGCCCATTATGAACAGTCTTACAGGAGGTGCCTCCAAGGGCTTGTCTTTGGGTAGGAACTCCACTGGATTAAGCAGGAATTTATCCCTAGCTTCAGTAGTAGACATGTAGTAGACCTTTTCTCTGTATTTGGCGCCAATCTCTGGATTTCCAGGGTAAAGGACTCCATTTTCCTTCAGTGCAACTGGACAGTAGTAATTGACATCACCAAGTGGCTTCTTCTTACTTCTGTTTGGATCTTCACTCTGAAGATTAAAGAAGATTGCATTCAGTGATTTTTGCCTTCAGATTAGAATAATTACTGAATTTCTGGACAATAATAGTGATATACATTTTGATGAATTGTGTGACATAGAATATGATATATGCCTGTATATTCATTTGTGTAGAGTGAAAATATTCAAAGTAAGTAGTTTTAACTAGGTCACCAAATTTTCTGATCATTTTCATTAGTAATAAGGTAGTTGACAATTTATTAACATAGACATAGAAAATATCACTAAAGGGTGATGGGATATGATTACCTCCTCTTCTTCCTCTGCCTCCTCTTCTTCATTCAGGTCTGCCTCTAAATCTTCCTCTTCTTCATCAATATCCATTCCACTGTACTCCCAGGCTGCATACTGATAGGGCACTGAAATAATCATAATAATATTTCTATCTGTATTATCTATATCTATACTGAGAATTTCAAGAAGATTCCTGGATTTTCTTTGATCAATCCAGTGCATCAATAACATTGTCAAGTGGATTCATCTAGGACTATGATGATTTTCACTATATGAATGGTACCATACTCAATTTTTATCATTTAATGAAAGCATGAGTTACATAGGAGTATATTTTCCTTGAGAAAACATCCCATACAATCATAACCAATATAAAGAAACAACTTCCTATCAATACATGGAGTACAGCATCTAATAAGGTGGTTTTTGGAAATTTTTCAACTCCATGGTATGACTCAGAAACAGGTTTAAAACAAGGTTGCTGCCTTTCCCCAACATTATTTTCTATTATAATGACCGACTTATTAAGCTCACTTGAAAAGGAAAACATTGGCTTTGACTTTAAAGGTAAAAAAATTCCATCTTTATTTTTCGCCGATGATATAGTGCTTATGGGCGAGTCTGAGCAGCAATTGAATAAACTTTTAAAAATAACTGACATTTTTGCAGTTGAATGGGGTTTTAAATTTAATTCAAAAAAATCGAAAGTAATGGTTATAGGGCAAAGAATCAATTATGAGAAAAAATGGATATTAGGGGAACATGAATTGACAGAAGTAAAAGTCTACAAGTATTTGGGTATCTATTTTGACCGTTCTTTGAAGGATACTTACCACATTAAAGACACTTTAAAACCCAAGTCAAGAAGAATTCAAAATATGATTTGCTCTACACTGACAAAGCATTGTAATATGAAAAGAATTGATTTTGGCAATACAATGTATAACGGAATGTTTTTGCCTGCAATACTCCATGGTTGTGGAGTAATGTTACTGAATAAGACCACCGAAAAATATCTTAGCACTATGCAATACAAAATGGCTAAGGCCTTAATGCAACTCAAATGCAACCCTGCAAGAGAATCCCTCCTTGGTGACCTTGGGTGGAGACCAATCTGTGATATTATACATAAACGCCAGATTGATTATTTTATTTATTTAAAAAGTTCCTTGAAGAATGGACTCCATAAAGATATTTTCAATTATTTGCTACATGAGTTTAAGCTTGGTCACAAGGCATCATGGCCTTTTATGGAAAATGTCCACTCAATCCTAACTGAGGTTGGACTTGATGATGTTATATACCGTGACGATACTAACTGGTACACATCTTATTTAAATATTTCAAATGAACAATGGGTAAGATGCTTTAATGAGGCAATATGCGATAAATCATCATTGTCACTATTCAAGACTGTTAAGAACCATACTTTTTTAGAAAATTATCTGAAAACAGGCATGGATTTTTACAGCCAGCATATCAAATTCAGAGCTCGCGCTAAATGTCTGGGCTTGAATACTGATCTTGAAAGGAGGGGACTGTCAGATGGGTTCTGTAGTACTTGCCTCTCAGAAAAAGATACACTTGAACACCGCTTATTTACTTGCCCATCCACAACAACACAACGAAATATGTTTTTTGAAAAGTTTAATAAAGAATGCCCGGATTCAATTGTCAATAGTTTTTTACAACTTTCCATTTCTGAGAAAACACGTTGGATTTTGGGGGATGATGTAGCTATATATTGGGGACAGGACCTAGGTTCTACTTTTGATAAGCTATCAAAAACATTTTTAGTTGATATCAATAAAGAGATATTCAAACATTGATTTTATTCACTTTCACTTTCTGTAATGACAATGAAGATAAAAGTCTATTATCAGTATTGTAATGTATTTTAACAAATATTTTAATGTTTTTTAATGCTGTAATATGTTGTATTTTAATGATATGTCATTCTGCCGCACTGATACTCCTCATGTGTCACTGTTGTAAATAGTGAGAGCAATAAATAATAATAATAATAATAACAGCACTTACATTCAAGCTGCCTGGCTGTATCAAACATGACACCCTCTTCCTTTTTGGCATCTAGTTCAATGATAACAGGCTCAGCCCCTGTATTGCCAGTGATTAGAGCAGAGCATGTGGCCCATTCTGTGTCATAGTCCTTCCTCTTGATCTTGTAGGCGTCATACTCTGGTCCCTCTGGAGGCAGTGGGTCTTCGATCTTCTCAGGTATGACTTCTATAGTGGATTCTGCACCATCGCCATCTATTTATCACACACATTAAATAATTATAAGATAAAACAAACTGAGATAAAAACTTGTTGATTGCTGTCACAGAAGTTTTAAACAAACAATTTCAGTACAAAATTTTTTTTATAAGAAATGTTTAACAAGTTAAATAATGAAACTGCCTAAATGACATTTTATATGTATGCTTACATGTATGTATTGAGTTAAATGTATTTATTCCATGTATTTTATGTCATACTCTATTAGGTTATAAAAAATAATGACCTTCTGTCTGGGTATCTTCAGGTCTCTCCCCCTCTCTGATAGGAGGAGGTTTTGCTTGATCTCCCTGCCTATCATCTTCATCTATACAAACAACATAGTAACATAAATATATCACATAGCAACAGAAGTATATCACATAGCAATAATATCACATAACAACATAAATAGGCACCAGTCAATATTTCAATGATGTCTTAATGTAGTTAAAATGCAGTTAAACGAATTAAGTTAATTGTTTGTGGATTGAAATTGATATATTTAGTCCTTAGCCTATTTAACAATATACCAATAGACACCTAACCTATACAGGAGGCCATTTCTCGAAACTTATCGTTATTAACGAACCATTAATAGCGAATCGTGGATTTGTTTCTATGGGCACCGCATCTTTAACGGAATAACGAGACCCCCATTCGGACTCGTAAAATCAATCATGGATACTGAATAAATCGATAAATCGCGAATTTTTAACTTTCGAGAAATGGAAAATCGTTATTAACAATTGAATTAACGATTGGTTAATGACGAAACTTTCCAGAAATGGCCTCCTGATTAGTAAAACAAGTGAGTACAATAATCAACCAAGAACCAACAAATAACTATCATAATATACATTATAAGGACCGTAGCCAGGATTTGCCAAGGGGGGTTTATTTTTTCAAAAATTCCAGGGGATTCACTTTTGACAATTTTGGTCCAAAATGGCCAGAATCAATCTAAAGTGCTCAGAATGGTGAAAACTGCATGGTTTTTGGCCAGGGGGAGATTCGCACAAACCCATCTAGCCCCCCCCCTGGCTACAGGCCTGAACGTAACAGAGCAACAATTAACTCTTAAACATACTGTAGTTTGTATGATTGTTTTAATGTACAACCTGCTGTCACTTTCTCTACATCAACTAAAATTGAATTGAATTGAATTGACTTTCTCTACATGAAATAATAATTGAATAAAACCTAATGTGAAATAGTATCTAAGCTAAGATAAACCAGTGTATACTAAATAAAAGCCTTAGTAAGGTCTACTTTTCTAATAAAGAACACGACTGCCATTTTCTGAATTGTAAACTAAAACTGTGTACTGTATACACTTGTAATTATGAAAATCGGATTTTGAAAAAATGATATCTTTAATAGATATTTTATTCAAGAGCTAAAGCATTTTATTCAAAACCCAGTTTCAATATACACTGTACAAGAAGAAGCTTAATAAGCCAGTACAAAAATGCATTTAATGTTGTTGTGATATCAAATATATATTTCTTTTATTGACAATTGTATCAAAACAAGACACATTCGTCTAAATAGCATATTCTGCATGGCATAGCACTTTCTACAAACAACTAAAGAATTTTAGTCATCTAATAAGTAGGAGCTCATCAGGTTCATATCTGGAAATGATTCCTATGGCCAGGATCTACAATCTACATCTTATTTATATGTAATAAGAAGTAAATAAGAAGACTACCACACTGCAAATCTATAAAAAGCCCTAAGTGCTAGAAATCTAAAAAAAACTAAGCAAGCAGTCTGGTTGACACCAGTACCTTTGCTTGCTTCTGTTTCGGTTTTAGCATCTGTAACTGCTGCGTTAGCCTCTGCAGGAGTCTTAGAGCCAAGTCTTGGTGATATTTTCGAATCAGGCGAGGATGTTGAACGAGGAGTTTTGGCATCCTCTTCTTCTTCTTCTATTAACAAAATGGAAAATTAAAAAATTAGTAATTGAATACTATATAGTATATTTTTGATTATACATTCTTCGGCCATATATTGCACTATAAATCACTAGGATCTCAGTCTTTATTCCTTAAATACAATAAATATGTCCTTCACACAACTCTGTATTTCTCTAAAATATGAAAGTTATTACATGTATTTTTTCAATGCTTAAGGTACTTCTGCACTTTCACAAAATGTTGATTATCAAAAATTGGGGAAATCTCATGACAAAACTTAATCAAAATATTCTGATTTTTAATTGAATTCTACAATGTGTTATTATACTTAGCCCTGCTAAGATGCCACTACATTGTTTTTAAAATCAAGAAAATTGATTGAAAATTCTCATCATGTGGAACTACCTTCAATTACATTGTTTTTTCATTGTTCGATCAAACCATGGCTGAAATGTGCCTAAAATTAAATATAAAATAATATAAAATAGGATAAAATATTTATAATACTTAGGAAGAATATGATGTCCACTGCACTGTCCACTGAGATATATATTGAGATATTCCTAATATCCTGAACCTCATAAAGGATAATCCCAATATCCTGACCTTGTATAGGATAATCCCAATATCCTGAATGGCCCATATATGATAATCCAAAATATCCTGAACCTCATATATGATAATCCATATATCCTGAACCTCATATAGGATAATCCCAATATCCTGACCTTCAAAGAGGATAACATCTACAGACATGTACCCACCTTTATTTGCATGTTTCCTAGCAACTCTGTCCTCTTCTTCTTCATCCTCAACTCCTTCTTCTAAACAGTGCAAAACAAAAAAGTGCAACTAAACTACAAAATCAAAAAGCATGCAATAAATAATAAAACAAACAAAGCTATATTTAGAAGTTGCATAACTAATAGTACGTGAAATGAATTGATAAATAAAAAGTCAAAATTAGTATTAAAAATTCTAATTGTTTCTAATTTTAATCAAGATGATTTTCTCTGTGCACATACCAACAATTTATGGCTTACTTACTCGTATATCTGAAGGCTGATTGGTTAACATGATTTAGATTTATTCTGTGAGCCAATCAAATAACAGATATCTGTAGATCATTAAGTATAAGTGCATGAACAGAGAAATCTTGTTTGTGCTTTATCGAGAAATGGTTAAACTGTAATACACACTACCCTACCTCGATAGCGCATGCGCGAATTTTTTGGCTTTCAATCAGGTCGCTTTTAAGTATATCGACTGCTTAGTGAAAAGGTTAATACGTTTGGTGCTCGGAGTGAGTCAATATTGCTATTCACTGAACTTCAGTGGTGCAATAGTGAAGTCCATGTTCCAAGTTATATGATAGTTGAAGAAAGAATGTAAATAATATCGTTTTAAATTTTAAAATATTTGACACGTCATAGTACACGGTACACAGCTGCAAAAGTTGATCAATACAGGGTACGAGGAATGTAAATTGTTCAATAGTACAGGGAGCGAGAAAGTAAGCTGATTATACAGACATACTATGTCCCGATCTCATGTATATTTACGTTGCAAACAGTGAAAATAATGCTAAAAAGGCCGCCTGTTGATGCTTTGAGGTGTCATCAATTGTTATTTAATCCAAATAAAGTAAACATTTTTTAGTAGATTTAGACACGGGCTTTTAGGTCGTATATGCATTTTAGTCATTAAAATTAACAAGAACGCTAGATTATACGTGTTAATAGGGTATCAAATTGAAATAAAATAACGAAATTAAATATGAACACGTAAGTGATAAATGACTATCGGCTATCAGGATTAATGACTATCCGCTATTCAGAATAATTAAAATTGCGTGAACTACATGTAAAGAATCTTTCTATATAACCCCTTGAATGGTCTAATTCACTACCGTCCTCAAAAACCGATCATTTAAAATAGTTTGTTCAAAATACCATCATGTCACCACATTTTGTTCTTCACGATTTGCTGTAGAGGTGATATGACGTCGTATTTCTCTATTATTGTAAGAAAACTAATACCAGATCGATGTAGTCTTATATGACGTGTTGAATGTCAGATGTTTTTGGATGGTATCTGCTCCAGTGATTTTGCATTTAATCATGAAACGCTCATCACAAGACACCTCGAAACAAACATTATCCTCCTTGAGGAAAAATGTTTCACAATATGTTATGCCTTACGGCAAAATAAAGATACATTCCTGGGACGACTTTTTTGCATCTTAAGATTTTAGAAAAACAATTAATTCACAAAAGTACAGTTGAATAACATACTGGAAAACGTATCCACATATAACACGATGACACGCAGTTTAAATAACAGTTTACTGGGGTTTTGTTACATATCAATGTAACATTTTCGAAGGGAAACTTACATGCTCCCTGTACGTTGACAGATTTACTGAAATGTATCGTGTATTGCATTGAGTTTTGCTTCACTGCGCCCACTATTATCTATCTTTGCCTATAGTGGTTTTTTGCCAACAATATTCTACAAACTGCTTGATGAATCAATTCTATGTCTGGTAGAACACTAGAAATAAATGTAAAATGTATTTTACGTTCAGAAATATGGAATTAAACCCACGTCCTCCATTTGCAACTTAGCTGTACCCTGTTTCCCTTTTAAACGTGGTCATGTGGTAGGGTAGTGTGTAATACTAAGTATAGTAGTAGTGCTCTAATAGAAAATAATAAAAGTGTGCAATCCTAAATAAATGTGCTTAATAAAAGTAAATTATAAAAATAAAGCATTCCATGCATCAAATTTCTAACCAAACTTGGGAGATATTTTTCAAGATAATCTATTTTTATAATTGGCTTACCTTTACAACTGCTTTCAGGATGTGACTTTAGAAATAACTTAGGGAGTATAAGTGAATCAAACTGATTGCTTATATAGCAACATATACTGTACATGTTCAATATAGTAAAACTGCCTAGTTGCTAAGAAATACAATGTGAGGTTGTTATACAATTTGAACCTACCATCACTGAGATCTTCACCCTCTTCAAGTCTCCTCTGTCTCTCCTCCTCCTTTGCTTGTCTTATTGCCTCCTCATTGGCCAATCTCTCTTCCTCAGCTTTTATTCTGGAATTATGCAAATAAACTGTCAGTGCATTTGTATTATATTGCATTTATTGATATGTTATGTGTATTATATTTCGTAATTTTGCATTGTATTTTAATCTTATCAGATTGTATTGTAATATATACAGGGTAATACATTGTATTATATTTTATATGAATTGTATTGTACTGTATTGTATGAATTGTATCTGTATTGAATTGTATATATGTATAGTGAATTGTGATATATTGTGTTGCATTGCATTCTATTCTTACCTAGCTTCTTCCTCAGCCTTTGCCTTCACTCTTGCCTCCTCTTGCACTCTCAGCTGATGTTTTGCATCAATCTCTGTCTGGTTCAACTTATACCAGCGTTTAGTCAGGAATTTGCCCTCTTCACTATTGTCTTTCAAGTATATGACATCATCAGGGATGAGGCCTTTGTCAAATGCAACGCCCCATTGGTCTCTTGTGCAAGGAAAATTATCCAGAATCCATCCTCCATTCCTGGAATTGTCAACAAATTCTCACTTAATAACCATGATACAACTTTAAACACTTGTCTCGTGGTTCCATCATGAAATAATTAAAGAATAAAATAATAATTCTGATATTTCTGAAACACTTATGATAGTGTTTATAATGATATATGATTTATGATATAAATACTAGCAAAAATATGTAAAATTGTTTAAAGGGTTCCGATTAGCATCCCGTATAAAAACAATATGGCGGCTCCAGGCGAATCAACTGGATCAGTCCATTTTTAAGAAATAAGGGGAGTTCTGTAAAATCCAGTTTATTGAAATTGTCTTTGAGATAAAGTAATCCGTTTATAATGATTTTGAAAACGTTATCCAAAGAGTGATTGCGTTCAAAGAATACATGTACAACAGCCAATATAAATCCTTGTATTAGAAACCGGTTTGTCTTGCTTTGTTTCATTTGTAGGATATTTCATATGCCAAGCTGTGTGCTATTACGTTATGGGGAAATTTAGATGCCAATTTTTCCTTATTATACACAAATAGAAAATCCTGAAACTTCATCCATAAATGTGGAATTGATTTGTCAAAATAAAAATCACCCTTTTATAAATGTGTGACGATCTATAATATACTTATGCTATGTAACAGTCAGAGGTGTTGACAAAACGACCTCGAACCTGTGAACCCTTGAGTATTATTCCGGGATCGGGCCTTTTATACTAAACGGTGAGCAACACCAGAAACGAGCGTTCGATTTGCTAAACGATATGCGTCACCCTTTAAGTAAACTCTATGAATGTATATACTTCTGGAACACCCTGTATATACTTACATTGGGCCATCTTCACCATTCTTTCTGAGATCTTTCTCCACATTTTTGATTGCTTCTTCCATAATTTCAATATATACTTCTGGAGGGAGAACAACCTGGGATTGCAGAGTAAATAAACAAATGAATAACATACACAGTATACACATAATGGTGGTTGGTGGTTGCAGACCTCACATAGGAATATTTCCAGAAACTACTTTTTATATATACGAATCAGTTTAAACAAAGCTGAAAATGAAGATCAATGATATATTTGATTCTACTATATGTTACATAACTATGACAATTAAATTCAAGAGAATTGGATCTGTTTTGTTACACAGAGTGGCCACCGTTTCATTATAATCAAAATTTATACAAAGTCTGTGTAAAGTGCAGAGAGACTTTATGGACACCCTGTATAATTTGTTTGAATTTACAAGATATTCAAACTACTTACAGGCATTTTCTCTGCTTCAACCATTGCAGCTTCAACAAGTGCAATAACCTCTGGGTGTTTGTCATCTACCTCAACTGGAGGAGGTGGAGTGGGAGCTTTGGTGGTGGGTTCACTTGGCTCTTTGATCACCTCATCCTTTTCTGCTTTGTCTTCATTTTCACCATCAACAGGTTCTTTGTCTTTTTCTTGGTCTGTCTCTTCTGAGAAAATAATTCATAAAAATTACATTCATGTGGTCAAACTCAAAACATGGCATATAAGGTATGGTCATTATCATAAAGTTTCTTAGGTAATACTCTCATTTTGTTAAATGATATCTCAGGTAACACAGCTGTAATAACAAAAATCCAATTCATCAATAAGTATGAATATTGTAACAGTAGATATTGGATTGCATGACTTTTAATCTGAATGAATTATTATCAATCCAGAGATCCAGAGATCAGTGAGGCTGATCCACATTTAATTATAGCAAATTCTGATTTGAATAGCTATTAATCATTTAATAAATTCAATCCATATTGATGTTGAGTTCTCACAAATTGAGGAATCACCAACATTGTTGATGTCAAACTACACAATGTTGATGTCAAACTATACACACTGTTGATGTCAAACTTCACTCTGCTGATGTCAAACTACACACTTAGAGTAGATGCTACTGTGTTAAATCTATAAGTGCTACAAAATGAAAACCAGATGCAAAGAGAATACAGTGCAGAAGACAGCATTTGCAAATATTGTTTATAACAAATTACATACAGGAAAGAATACACACATAAAAGTCATTATGTGAAAGAAAATAAACATAATAGGTGGAATGAACTAAGAAATATGATCTACATATCAAACTATATAAAGAAAAGCATAGGATTTACAAAATTAATTAATAAGAAGTTTCAAGTTTCTTTGGCCAAAGAGGAGAACGGTTGGCTGAAGAATGTAACACATAAAAAGGTATGTACATCATACCATCCTTACACATCAATATACTAGGTTAAATATACAGATATATATTGAAAGTAAACTTTATAGTATCAGACAGACATATACAGTTGAAAGTAAACTAGCACAGTATGGGACAGACAAGGGGTGGCCCTCATAGATAGTGTAATTACTAGTGATCTAAGGAAGGCAAAAAGATGAATCCTCAATGAGAGTATTTTATTTGATAGACTGGTATATATGACTGAACAGCCATTTATGATCCTCCATGGGATTTAATGAGTTATTTCTCAATACTCAAGCTGGAGGCAGTCTATTGGCTCTAACATTGCAGTCCATTTTATAAGGTGTTTACTAAATCATGCCCGTAGCCAGGATTTCCCAAGGGGGATTCAGTTTTCAAAAATTTTCAAGGGGGTTCACATTTGACAATTTTGGCCCAAATATGGCTAAAATCACTTGAGAAGTGCTCAAAATGGTGAAAAACTGCATTGGAATAATTTTTGGCCAGGGGGGGTTCGCCCGAACCCTGCGAACCCCCCCCCCCCTGGCTACGGGCCTGTAAATAGCATAGATTTGAAGCTAATGATAGCATTGGAAGAATTTAATTGTACAACAACTTGATTCCACTGCCATTGTTAGTAAATAGCCAATGTGAAGAAGGGGTTATCTTGGAAAAATGAGAAAAGCAGTTGATACGGTAGTTGGGTTGTAGTAAGTAAGCCTTTGATAGACAGGAATGAGCTACTGAATGTCAGTTGTTACAGCACCAGGGTTGGTAGTAGGTAAGCCTTCAATTAAAGGAAATGAGCCACTGAATGGCTACCTTTATTTTCAGGGAGAATTTCAGGTGAATCTTCATCATCTCCCGGTTTTTCTATTTCTTCATCTATTTTTTCAGGAACGTCTAATTTGTTGGGAATGGTAGTTTTTGTGGTATCCGTGTCTGATGTATCAACCTCTGTGTCAGATGCATGAAAGGATGTCAGATACATGCAAGGATGTCAAATACATGCAAGGATTTCAAATACATGCAAGGATGTGTTTATGTCGTATTCTAGCTTGGATTCATATTTTGACCATTCATTGAATTATGGAAAAATGCTTCACATCAAATAGTCTCCTTTTTGAGTAAAGATTTAATTTCCGAAAAAACACTTTTTTTATCAAGATGTCTAGGTTTATAGTTAATATTTTCTCTAATAATCACAAATTTTGTTTAAATAGATGGTCATAAGAGGGTTATATAAAGAATTTCATTTTTCATACCACAAACAAAATAAAATTATACTCAAAAGCAAGAAATAATATTGTAAAATCAAACAAGGCACATGACGTGAACGAGATCACACCATCAAAAAACTTTCAAAATGGCTGCCCAGAAGTTAATCAGCTCTAGAACTTGACATCCTCTATCATGTGTGCAAATTTGGAGACAATCTAACAAGCGGTTTTCCTGAAATGGCAATGGCAAGTTTTATCTGAAAACCTTCAAAATGGCCGACAGAAAACAATGGCCACCCAAAAGTTTATCAGCTCTAGAACTTGATATCCTCTATCATGTGTGCAAATTTGGAAAAATCCGATGAGCGGTTTACCTAAAATGGTGATGAAAAGATTTTCCAAAAACCTTCAAAATGGCCACCAGAAAACAAGATGGCCGCCCAAAAGTTAATCAGCTCTAGTACTTGATATCCTCTATCATCTGTGCGAATTTGAAGGAAATCCGATGAGCGGTTTTCCTAAATTGGCGATGACAAGATTTTTCGAAAAAACTTCAAATGGCCACCAGAAAACAAGATGGCTGCCACAAAGTTAATCAGCCTAGTACTTGATATCCTCTATCATTTGTGTAAATTTGAAGGAAATCCGATGAGCGGTTTTCCTGAAATGGCGATGACAAGATTTTTCAAAAAAAACCTTCAAAATGGCCACCAGAAAACAAAGTGGCCGCCCAAAAGTTAATCAGCTCTAGTACTTGATATCCTCTATCATGTGTGTAAATTTGAAGGAAATCCGATGAGGGGATTTTCTGAAATGGCGATGACAAGATTTTTCGAAAAATCTTCAAAATGGCTGCCAGAAAACAAGATGGCCGCCCAAAAGTTAATCAGCTCTAGTACTTGATATCCTCTATCATGTGTGTAAATTTGAAGGAAATCCGATGAGCGGTTTTCCTGAAAGGGCGATGACAAGATTTTTCGAAAAACCTTCAAAATGGCCGCCAGAAAACAAGATGGCCACCCAAAAGTTAATCAGCTCTAGTACTTCATATGCTCTATCATCTCTGCGAATTTGGAGAAAATCTGATGAGCAGTTTTCCTTAAATGGTGATGACAAAAAGCGGGACGATCACGATCACGACCACGATCACGACCACGATCACAACCAGTATGACGACTATATCCCACCGATGGTGTGATGAAAACTGAACTAATATGTGCATGCAAAATAAACATTTATACACCATAACAACATACAAATCAACTCAATCAAAATTTAAATATACTACATATACATGCAAAACAAAAAATTGTGCAAAACTCTATTGATGGACGATTTAAACACAAAACTAATAGGTTCAAATTGTGACATCAAAATGGAGACACCGTCTACCTACCATCTTCAGTTTTTTCAAGATCAGCGTCAGTTTCTGCCACAGTTTCTTCAATCTCTGAATCTAATATCACACATAAGCTTATATTAGGTTACTGCATTAATTAATTCTTCTATTCGTAGTTCCCTCTTCAAAAGAGGAGACACTAAAGATTTTTCATTAGGTCAAAATATTTCCCATGCTGCAGTTCGCGGAGGAACAAATTCATACTTCCTTGTTTTTCCTCATAAGTTTATCATGGAGATTTTCACACCTATTTTTTAATCGATATATTTGTTCACATTTCCATACAGTAGTACAGAAAAAATTATCAGAAATGATTGATCTCTTATTAATCTTAATATAACAGTTATTTTTTTTATTGTATTGATTCATAGCGTGGTGAAAACAATGATTGAAAAGTGAGAAAGTATTCCGGAAGAGAAGGTCACGTCACACCTGATCAGTTGACTAGTCGCCATATTGGAAAAAATAATTTCATTCGACTTTCAACACTTTCATTCCATCCTTACTGCACTACAAACTGCAACGACAAAGTATAAGTACTCATCTTCAAATTGCATTATAGTTGAAAACCCACAAACAACTGAGCAGTTGGCCAAAGAAGAGGCGTCGCTATTATCTAAGCCAATCGGTTTAGTTCAATGAATTTTGTTGTTCATTGAACAAGCTTTTCTTGATTATACTTGGTATTCTGACAATTAAAGCAATGACAAAGAACAATACTAACGATGGTGTCATTGTTAGCGAGCAGGTGTAAAAACAAAAGGGCATAATTAGTTTGATTTAGAACTTTCGGGTCACGCAAATAGCTACGCGAAATGTATCGTGGGAAAATATTGACCAATCAAATTTTGTCCTTTTTGAGGACTTTTTCAGTACATATTTTCGTGCCTTCTCAATTAAACAGCGAACCACGAAAGGGAAAATTGCATATATTGTTATCAAACAAATATGGTGGATTTAAGATTTTATTAGATTATTTGTGTGAAATTTTAGTCTTGCAGAAGTCCCTTAGGGTTTGCTTGGCAACTGAATAAAATAGAATTTCCATAAACTCTAAAATACACCAATATGTTTTGATAACATTACAGTGAAATCATCAAGGACAATGGTGCTTGATGCAAAATCACCATATACTGTAAGCATTTTCATAGATTTACTTTTGCAATGTGTCATCTTTTAATAATCACCAGTCATGTTCAAATAAATCAATGAAAATCAGGCTTTATTTATCATTTATCTCTAATTATCCATTTCAAGCAATTTTTATTTAAAGCTCCTCAAAGCAATATTATCTATTTCTTAAACTATAACATGCTATATCTTACATCACAATTACAAAATGGTCATTTATACTATGCCCAGAATCTCCCCATTTTTCCTCTCAATGTCATGGCAATATCATCTCATGTGAAATTGTAGATTTTGTGATATGCTTGATAATGAAAAGGTCACCATGCATGTATGGGATTATGCGAATATGGGTGAATTAATGGAGCACATGCATGTATGGGATTATGAGAATATGGGTGAATAATGGAGCACATGCATGTATTGGATCATGAGAATATGGGTGAATTAATGGAGCACATGCATGTATGGGATTAGGAGAATATGGGTGAATTAATGGAGCACATGCATGTATGGGATTAGGAGAATATGGGTGAATTAATGGAGCACATGTATGTATGGGATTATGAGAATATGGGTGAATTAATGGAGCACATGCATATATGGGATTATGAGAATATGGGTGAATTAATGGAGCACATGCATGTATGGGATTATGAGAATATGGGTGAATTAATGGAGCACATGCATGTATGGGATTATGAGAATATGGGTGAATAATGGAGCACATGCATGTATGGGATTATGAGAATATGGGTGAATTAATGGAGCACATGCATGTATGGGATTATGAGAATATGGGTGAATTAATGGAGCACATGCATGTATTGGATTATGAGAATATGGGTGAATTAATGGGGCACATGCAAGTAACAATGCTGCACTCCCCCCCCCCCCTCTATAAATATGACAACAAGAAGTTTTCATTGGATAGCACATGTAAGCCTGTCAATTTTGCAATCTTAATTTTCTTAATTACAATAGAAATTTATGACAAGATTGATGTTTTTCTTTAAATCACTGAACATAAGGCTTTGATAAGTCATCAATTCAAAGGGGGACATCCAGTTGCCAAACTTTTGGAGAGGAGTGTAGCACAATTGTCCTGTTCCAGACTCACTTGTTTCTTGTTGTTCAGCCTCCTTTGCGGCAGCCTCTATCTCATCTTTGATCTTCTGTTTAATGGTGATGATTGCATTCTCTGTAGATTCCTCTTTGGCTCTTTGAAGCTGAGTCTTACGCTCTTCTTCCATCCGAGGCTTGATAAGTGTATTGATATCCAACACCTAGACAGAATATAACATAATAGAAAATCAATATACTTCTTCAAAAATCAAAGCAATGCTAATTTGATGATTATTTGGATGATTCTATAACAAGACATACCTGTGCACCATATTTCTGGGCCAGCAGATGACAAAGTGTGGTTTTCCCCGAGAGTGGTGGTCCCTGGATGGTGATCTTACATGGGGGTCTGGGCTGGGGAGGTAACAAGTAGGGACGTGGGTTCTTCAGGAACTTATCCATGGCTTCGGCGCTGGACAGAACATACATCTTGTCTAGAAAACTGCAACATGAGAGAGAATTAGTAGATGTTTGCTGCACATGAAAAAACACTACCTGGAAATATCCATGGAGAAAGGCTTTAACATTTTTCTAGTAAAAAAGATGGCCAAATTCAACATACCTAACCGCAAACTCTGGTTTACCAGGTATCATATTTCCCTCGTGTAAAGCAACAGGGCAATTCCGCAACCATTTGCTACGTCTCCATCTGAACCTGGGTGCGACCATCTCTTTTGCTCCCAAAGTACGCATCAACTCATCAGTATCAATTTCCTCTGGGAGTTCCTCTTCTTCTGGATCATTCATGAGTCGTGTTGGGACGGCAGCTGGCCTCAAGACAAAGCAGCTCAATCTGGACATTAGTTGCTGAAATATTCATTTAATTCTTGGTTATATCTGAAGAAAATTAACAGCCCCACATTAAATGTATGTCAGGGCAATAGCCAGATCTTAAGCCAAAGAGGAATATATCAACCTCCAATAGGATTTTAATTTGGTTGAGAAAACGTTAAAATACATGTACCTTTGGCTTTAGCCTTAAACTATGCGCATGAATATGAAGAGGATTATCCGTTTATAATATATCATCACATTTCAGGCACATAACTGACTTCAAAGGGGATTTAACTTATACCAAAAATCCCTAGTCTGATAGCAAAGTATCTAATGCTCCTCAGTCCTCATATAGAAAATAGAACTAAAAACAGAATCAACATTTGTATATTCATCAGAGCTGATAAGGAATGGTATGAGTATTTCTTCCCTTACCTTAAATAATATATTATGGTGTTGATTGGCTTGAATATCTCTCCCCTTACCTTAAATAATATGTTAGGGTGTTAATTGGCATGAATATTTCTCCCCTTACCTTAAATAATATGTTAGGGTGTTGACTGGCATGAATATTTCTCCCCTTACCTTAAATAATACGTTAGGGTATTGATTGGCATGAAAATTTCTTCCCTTACCTTAAATAATATGTTAGGGTATTGATTGGCATGAAAATTTCTTCCCTTACCATAAATAATATGTTAGGGTGTTGATTGGCATGAATATTTCTCCCCTTACCTTAAATAATATGTTAGGGTGTTGACTGGCATGAATATTTCTCCCCTTACCTTAAATAATATGTTAGGGTATTGATTGGCATGAAAATTTCTTCCCTTACCTTAAATAATATGTTAGGGTGTTAATTGGCATGAATATTTCTCCCCTTACCTTAAATAATATGTTAGGGTGTTGACTGGCATGAATATTTCTCCCCTTACCTTAAATAATATGTTAGGGTATTGATTGGCATGAAAATTTCTTCCCTTACCTTAAATAATATGTTAGGGTGTTAATTGGCATGAATATTTCTCCCCTTACCTTAAATAATATGTTAGGGTGTTGACTGGCATGAATATTTATCCCCTTACCTTAAATAATATGTTAGGGTGTTGATTGGCATGAATATTTATCCCCTTACCTTAAATAATATGTTAGGGTGTTAATTGGCATGAATATTTCTCCCCTTACCTTAAATAATATGTTAGGGTATTGATTGGCATGAAAATTTCTTCCCTTACCTTAAATAATATGTTAGGGTGTTAATTGGCATGAATATTTCTCCCCTTACCTTAAATAATATGTTAGGGTATTGATTGGCATGAATATTTCTCCCCTTACCTTAAATAATATGTTAGGGTGTTGACTGGCATGAATATTTCTCCCCTTACCTTAAATAATATGTTAGGGTATTGATTGGCATGAATATTTCTCCCCTTACCTTAAATAATATGTTAGGGTGTTGATTGGCATGAATATTTCTCCCCTCACCTTAAATAATATGTTAGGGTGTTGATTGGCATGAATATTTCTCCCCTTACCTTAAACAATATGTTAGGGTGTTGATTGGCATGAATATTTCTCCCCTTACCTTAAATAATATGTTAGGGTGTTGATTGGCATCCAACTCTACAAGATACTGTTGGTCATGGTCTGCCATATAGTCCTAAAACACAGAATAAAAATGAAACTGTACATTAGTCCAAAGTATGTAAACATATTGATCTTCACAGGATTTTTTCTCAAGTGGGTGTAAAATTCTCATATTCACAATTCAGACCAAAATTGCTCAAAATATGCTGATTTTTCTTGATTTTCTCATTTTCAAGTGGGTGTAAAATGTAAATTGATTTTCAGGTGGGTGCAAGCATATTTTCAAAATCTCAGGTGGGTGTTGCGCCCACTTATTTAGTGCAGTTGAGATCACTGAAACATATAAGGCCAGAAGAAAGACATAAAGTGGTTAGCATAAAGTATTAGCTTCAAACACATATTTATTTTGATACTTTTTCTACCTTATTTTTTAAAAATTGTAATTCTACCATTTTTTATTTATATTTATACCAACACAAAATTAGTCAAATTTTGAAGATATTGAAAAATTCCACAGTCCTTCCAGATAAACACGAGATTTTATCAATTATGCCTCACTTACCATGGAGAAACTTAATATTAAGTGATTTAATTAAGATGACAGTTGGTAAAAAATGGAGCACTAGATCCAAAAAGGATTGATTCTAATTTTGTTTATTGCCTTTTTTAAGGTCAAATGGATAATATCTGTAGTTCTCATCCTAATTAACCTTAAAACAATATTAATTCATAGTGACATACAACTAAACCTTCTTTTCAGTATAATAACTAAAGCGTGAAAAACTGTTCATAGAAGACGAAAAAGATGCAAGTAGTTTTTTAATGGAACTTGTCGTACTGTTTACGAGGTAAGGAGTTTTGTCAAGCTTTGATCTTTTCAGAAAAAAGAGATTTGTGTCCAAGTCTATTGATTATGTAAAGTTAAATCGATATATGAACTAAGGATATTTTAGGGTTATATAGATTAAGAATTAAAGATATTGACCCTCTAATGGGAAAATGCCTCCGGTGGCCTATTTTTTATGAAAAGAATCAATATCAGTTCTCTGTTAAAAGCCAATTATATTTTCATGTCAAATATCTAACCATCATTTGGAAAAATATTTGCACTTTCAAAATAAATTCTAAAAGAAATCGTCATAGTGACATAAATATTGTTGTATATATTGATGTTTAATTGGACAAGACTAATAAAATATGACTACCTCACGCACGAAGACTATGAAGTATGCCATTTCATTTCACAATCTATTTTCAAAAATATTAAAGTCTAACATTAAATGATTAAGAAAAGATGGAGAGTGTGAAATTTTGGAAGTAATCTTTTCAAAAAACATGCCAATATTTTCTTTATAAATCTTATTACATCGTCTCTTCAAAAATAGCTGCCATTTTTTAAAAGAAATTGAATTTCTCTGACAATGAAGAACCACTTAATGGTTAAGAATCTATTTTTAGCAGAGGTCCCATACATCCTACGGCATCAGAATAAAAACATTATACCAAATCAGTCAACTGAGATTTGACATTTGAGTAATCAAAAATTACATTTTCATGAAAAGTGACAGCCATTTTGAAATGAGCAGACATTTAAGAAATTGTTTCTCAAACAAGGGTCCCATTCTCCTATGATATTAGACTATAGAATTTGGAACAACTGGGTTCTCTATATCCCTACTTGATCTTTGTTCAGTTGAATAATTAACCAGATCAAATCAAGCGTTAGGATAAATCAAAAATGAGAGAATTATGTATCCAATTTCCACAAACAGAGTGCAATTAATGACCACATGCCTTATTTATCACAAATTTTCCACAAATAACTTCTGTTCCAATATCTTTTCAACATATTGATTCCCAATACAAACACACACTTTTTAACTTAGTTTTGATCAATACTTATTGTTCAAAATGTTTCACACTCTTTAACGGCCATGTTCAGAGATAAATAGGTACTTTGTAACAATACAAACAGGCAACAACTCTATTTTAAATAAGCATATTATATGTTTTTATACACAAGTTATTCATTAGACTTAAAATTAAAGTAATGTTTTACTTTAAGGGTGTTCTCAAAAATATAATTTCAGTGTTTTCATTATATTTCCTGACATGTCATTGCAATAGCCGTAATTTGGGAGTTTTTCATTTTCAGGGTGGGTCAACAGTTTTGTGCTTTTTAGATCCTAGTGATATTTGGTTTGGAAATGACTGAACCGGATAATGCACATTGTATATAATTAAAAACAGTTACTGAAATTCAATCAATTCAAAATTGTTAATCTTATTTCCTGATCATATTTCATAATTTCATTTCATTTTGATCCATGTGAAAATTCAACTTGTTTTAAAGATTTATATTAAAATATGCAATATCACTGAAATGATGTAAAATCTGATTTATGGAAAAAATCAGAAATAACCAAATTTTTCAAACAATTAAAACCATATAACACATCATTCTATCATTTTATTTTTGCATTTACTGAGCTGAATTTCCAAAGGCAATTATCATTATTAAGTAATAATTAGATCTCTTCAACGGTATTCCTTTGAAAAGGGAAACACATTTAGCTGCCCAGACTGCATAAAAACATCTATGGGTGAGGGGTAAGCAAGATGCAAAACTAACTGGGGTGGAAGAGGTTTTTCAGTGAATGGACCTACATTCCCCTGCATAAGTTTGGCAACAAGAATGAAGATTTCATTCAATAGCATATTAAAGCCTGTCAATCTTTGAATCTTAATTTTGTTCCTTAATTACAATTACTCAGATGCGAGTAGGTAGTTACCAGTTTCACCACCAGGTGGCTGATTCAGGGGAATTAACATGGCAGGGTATTACAAAATTCCCTTAAACTTGAATATGCATCAGTTTTAGTGGTTCAGTTTTCATATTACCTTTATGTATCTGATAGTTATACAAATTAACATATGTCCAGTAAAAGAAAATATTATCTGCCCAACACAAGAAAAGATATTTCACTTTTTGTGGTTTTACAACATGGGGTCTATGGGGAATCTCCCCGACCTACAAGTCACATTTTCAAAGAAAATTGATAAACTCTTTTCAAAACCACATTTCTAAATGTAATTTTACATGTAGATTCCAAATATGACATCAGTTTGACTGAATTGTGAATTTTTAATGAAGTAAATCAAGAATATTTTTACTCGCATCTGGGATATTGTTTGGAAATTGATGACAAATTTTAATTTTTTTCAATCACCAATCGACACCAAACATAAACAGGCTAAGTGTAATCCAAAATGGGACTTTCAGTTGCCAAACTTATGGAGGGGAGTGTACATGGTGCTTTAACAAGTATTATGATTAACAACAATGGTATATCTTGAGATGGTCCCTAAGGCTAAATTGTAGGTGATTTCCTACTCTATATGAATAGCTGAAGGTGAAATTGAACACATTTCATCAATTTCATAATTTTCAATAATTCTTACCAACACACTGTTATTAAGCAGCCAAGGGATAAAACACAAGATTTCATTTTGAAAATACTAACAAATAAAAATGGATTTCAAGATAATTTGGGTTTTTCTATCATTGGTCGTGATCACTGAAAGTGTTCTTATTAAAACGACTCTGTTCGATAAAACAAATCCTATTAACACTCTGTATGATGGAATTCATATCCAACCAAGGGCAGCAATGGAGAATGTCAACACTTTGTTAAAATGTGCCGCATTATGTTTCGACTGCAGTACAAATATTGGAATGGGATACAGCATGAAGTCAAAGAGGTGTGAATGTTTAAAGCAGACTACAACTGGAGGATCGTGGACACCTGATTCTCAAATGGGTTACTACAGCATCTCAGAATGTGAGTTACAATGTTTTAATATCATTGAATGCAGAATTCTAATGAACAAAATATAATTTCTCAAATATTAAGCTCTAAATTTTTCACAACAAGATATTAACAAGATATTAAATATCTATAAATGTGCTGTTTTTTCAAGTGTGCTATTTGTTTTTAATATAGATGGAGGTCTACACTATTTCCCTATCAAACTTTGTTCGTTGAAATAATAATTCATAAGCATTAATTATTACTTCAGTAATCATTCTGATATTACATTAAACATATGAAAATATATGTCATAGGATTGTTCTAAACACAACAAAAATGCCTTTAATGTATTTTCAGGTGAAACTGCTTCTTCACAAATCGCATCATCTACCTCACAAACTGAAAGTCCATCACCTACAACCCAACAAACTGAAAGTCCATCACCTACAACCCAACAAACTGAAAGTCCATCACCTACAACCCAACAAACTGAAAGTCCATCACCTACAACCCAACAAACTGAAACTCCATCACCTACAACCCAACAAACTGAAACTCCATCACCTACAACCTCACAAACTGAAATTAAAACTTCAACAACCCAAAAAACATCCAACATCGAAATAATTCAGATTGAGGAGTTGGCTGAGATAGGCGATGACTGATGACTGAGATTTCAGATATGATAAAACAATGCAAGACAATAAACTACAACAAATATGACAGAGATAAATGCTTTTTCATCTACAATATAGTGTCATAAGTAGCTTGCTTCTGTATTTGGTATAATGGCCTAATGTTTCAGCCACAAAAAAGACTGAATTCTGGTTAACTTAGAATGTAGGTGCTAGAAACTGTAAAACCAAGACACGGGGGACAAATATCACACTTGAAGAGTAAAATGGCCACCATGTAAATTAGCTAGCATCCCGAAACCTTAATTAGATCTTGCTACAAGTCTGTTTTTGCATATGTAAATATTTCAAGTTAAAATGGATTGACAGTTTTCTTGCTATATATAAGTAAATCAGCAAAATAAAAAAACTGAAACTCCATTATCTACAGCCCCACAGACTGAAATACCATCATCTATAACCCAAAAAACTGAAATACCATCATCTATAACCCAACAAACTGAAATACCATCATCTATAACCCAACAAACTGAAACTCCATTATCTACAGCCCCACAGACTGAAATACCATCATCTATAACCCAAAAAACTGAAATACCATCATCTATAACCCAACAAACTGAAAT